TCCAGCAGAAAATCCATCCAGGAAAGCTCCAATAACAGAATCAAGAAGAGAACCAAAAGACTTATCCTTAACGCGAGCACTTTTACTCTTCTTTTACCTGCAACCAGGTCCCTTTTTTCCGTTCTATTTCCACATCAAAGAACATGTATGACTATTTTGTTGTAACGGTGATTATCTTATGTGTTTAAGGTTTTGGATGGGTCCTGAGGCATGCCACCATTACTTTATCATGGAGCTCACAAGTTTACCGAAAGCAGGTCTTTCTAATCATTTAAGAAAACTCCAAAGTTATTGACAAACATAAACCTGAAATCAAATTTTCGAACCAATCTTCCTTTGGAAAGTAAAAAGTTTCAATTGAACTTGTGATCACAACTACAGTTTAGCACATCAATCATTTCAAACAAACCTAATTTACATCACAGAGTGTACGCTACACACCAAATCTACATAAGATATGTTCCAAGTTCACATGATCAACAGAATTTTGCGATTTAAAGCAAAAGCACAACCTGTATATGTATTCATTTTATAAACTATTCAATAAAAGTTGGTGTTAAGTAAATTTCAAACAGAAGTAGCCGTTTGACACTCTCTGGATCAGAGCTATTATCATCAATCTTGTGATCTGCTAGAGGCAGGAATATTATATCAACAGTTGTACTTACCGGAGTGATGACAGTGCTATAGCGTGACCAGACAACTCCAGTGCATGCAACCGCTGTGTAACAATATTGAAAGAGACAAAGAAAAAGAAAAGTGAGAAGAATACAACATTGAGGTGACTCAATGTGTATCTTAAAGCGCTTGTAGTACAAGAAAAATGACTCGACATTTACAGTATTACTTGTATAAAACATCAAACAAACCTAATTGCTGAGGATATGAAAGATTTTCAGGTGGTTTAGCGAAGTCAGCAACATTAGCTATGCTGATGCCCCATTTAAATGTGGGTGCCCAAAAGTGAACTGCAATGCAATAACAGAGCAATTAATTAATACAAATCACCATCCGTAAAAAATAGCATTACAATTATCAATATAGCAGAGTTTATATAGATTGGTTTTAGGTGGTCTCCAAAGGGTAGCAGAGTTTTTCCCAATTATCAATATATTAGCAGCCAACTTGGTTTCAACCAATGCTTTGTTCCAAACTTCCACACGACCAAAAAAACAAAACAAAAAATTCAAATGCAAACAAAATAAATGGTTATTCTAAACCTGTGAATGCCACTTCTAACCAAGTGAAGTTAGCTCAGAAATCCAACTCTCAGTTCTCCTTTAAGGTCATTTCCATTAGTAATTTTCTTTTTTAATGCAATGCACTACAGAAACTTGTTGACAACGTCAACCCATTTTGGTTTTAAAAAAAATCAATCAATCAATGAACAAAATTTGCAGGGAAGAAGTTGATCAAAGCTTAAATGCAAAATTAAAACTTGAACTTTTTTAGTCTAAAAGAAACAACTAGTCTTCTTACTTCTAATTTCTAGGAGAAGTCTCAATTGGGTCTCTTCACCAGAAGACAGTATGATTCATTTTAGGGACGAGTTAACTCTATCCAAATCCAAAGATCTAAATCGCGCAAAACGGAAAATAAAATTTTAAAAATAGAAATTTGGATAAAAATAATTAGAGAAAAGGATGATTCAGGTGTGAGATTGGAGTGACCGTGACTTACTGGTTTTAGGGCCGGCCGGGTGATTCCATAGCGCTTGGAGCTTCGAAGCCGCCATTAATATCCTCTCTCTAGCTCTGTAGCTTGCTCAAGTCAGAGAGAGATCAATAATATCTGCTCGACCGTGTTGATCTGGAGGCCAATAGAATTATGCCACGTATGCAATTAAAGGAAAATAATTTTTTTTGGTGGGAAATAATAAAATTTCCCACATTAAACATGGCAATGGAGACATTTTTGTTGGACTGGAGCGGGGTTAGGTGCCGAGAAAGGGCCCAAAGAGACAGGGGTAATTCTGGTAATTTCACATCCATCTCCCCAAATTTGCGAAAGCTAAGCCCCATGGCTGATGATCAAGCATGAATCTTTGGCTTTTAGCAAAGCCAATTGCTGTGCTTTTGGCCACCGTAAGCAGCACCATCTTCTTGCTGCTACTCTCCCAGCAAAATCAATCTCCAAGACCAGCGTCAATGGCTCGGAGCTTTGTTCTGTGGCTTCATGGGTTGGGTGACTCAGGCCCAGCCAACGAGCCCCTCAAGACCCTCTTCACTTCGCCTGAGTTTAGGAACACTAACTGGTCCTTCCCATCTGCTCCATCAAACCCAGTTACATGCAATTGTAAGTTTACATTTACAGTCATAATATCCGGATACTTGTAATTTTATATGTAATTTTGAATTAGCTTTTTTTATTTTTTTTATGATATTACTTTTGTATGTTTATGTAATTGAGGGTTATGCTCTTCTGGAGAATTTAATTACCGTTGCTATTAGTTGCGTTTTGAAGGATTGTTATAGATAGCTCTTGAATTACATGAAGTTCGAAAAATCCGCCTAGGCGGCCTGGCCGGGTCGGGCCCTTTTTTTTTTCTTCCTGAATTTAAAGAAAACCTCACGCAGCACGCTAGGTTGTCCCTTGTCATCAAACGCATTATGAGTCTATGATGCATTCAATCTTGATTTTCAATACGTAACTTGTATTGCTTTTAGAATTGGGGTCTCAAATTAAAGTGGAGACTGCGGTCATTGTTGAAAGTGCAGGAATCTCTTTTTTTTGTGAGTGAAAGATGTCTTTGTGCTGATAAATACATAGAAAGAGCATAACTTGATCTAGAGCTATTCAGTGTACTGATCTAAGGCATAACTTTGTTCTTGTAGATGGTGCTAGGATGCCTTCATGGTTTGACATTGGCGAGATTCCTGTAACAGCTGTAAGTTATGATTCTGTTTCTTCCCTTTGTTTATTTAAATATGCTTGATAATTTGTAGTAGACTCATGCCCAGAAAATATTAAGCCCCTGATCTCACCCTCCACCCTTATTCTTAAGGCCAGAGGAGCTGTCGAAAAGGCCGTTGGCCTCTCAAAATATAATTTTTTTTTCTCCTGCTTAAATCTTTCTGTTTTGCATTCATGTTATGAATTCAAATGAAAAGGGGGTCTGACACCCTCTACCACTTGAACCCGCTTTCATGAAATTGCTTATATACTTTGTTGTTTATTGAAGACCCTACTGTTACATGTTTCAGAATTCTCCAAACAATGAAAGTGACCTGCTCAAAGCAGTTAAAAGTGTGCATAAGATGATAGACAAGGAGATAGATGCTGGCACAAATCCTAGTAACGTCTTTGTGTGTGGATTCAGCCAAGGAGGTCTGTCTCTTTCTCTGTGCACTTACATATACACGGTTAGAAACACTTGCACGATTGATTTCTTTGTTGCTACTGACTTGCAAGTACAACCTTTTTACCAGGTGCCTTGACATTGGCAAGTGTTCTGCTATATCCTAAAACTCTTGGAGGAGCTGCAGTGTTTAGTGGATGGGTTCCTTTTAGTTCATCTATAATAGAACAAATCCCACCGGAAGCAAAGAGGGTACGTTTCAGAAATCTATGACGTCTCACTAACATAGTGCCATGCAGTAATCTCTTTTGTTTTCAATCAGGATTAGTTTCTGTTATTGTGTTCTGCCTCAATAATTTATCACTTGTCATTGGGAGAATTCAAAATCAAACTGTGCTTGTCCATCTATTATAATGATACCATCACATCTGGTAATAGATTTCATCATTGTCATCGTCATGGACTTTGTTCCATTTGTAAGATTTCTGTCTAATGAAATCTAATGTCCGTGAGTTCCTATTATATGGCGTCCTCTCTCCTATTAATCTAACCTTTTGAGAAAAACTATCGTGGTCTCAATGTTAAATGTGATTGAAATGAACTGGTGCTTTCTTGTGAATTGTCGCATGATACAGCGATCTGATCACCTAAATATCATTACTACATGTGCAGACACCTATTTTGTGGTCTCATGGGATTGCAGACAGAACAGTATTTCTTGAAGCTGGACAAGCAGGTCCCCCTTTCCTTGAACGAGCCGGTGTAAACTGCGAGTTTAAGGTATTTTATGCAAAGCAACACAACAAGACTTCTTAAATGCACACTTGACTTTTGTGCAACTCCGAAAATTTTGACTGGTTCTCATTTGCAGGCTTATCCTGGTCTTGGCCATTCAATAAGCAATGAGGAGCTCAAGCACCTGGAATCATGGATTAAAGCTCGTCTACCAAGTTCTTCTTGAAGGTTTTCGCTTGTATAATTATAGCCATAGGTCCTTGGTGTTTGATCATTATAAATTTGAGAAATTCAAAATTCCCATTTTTATCTGACTCATATTTTACCTTTTGCCCTTATGTCAAATTAGCATTGTCTTGAATCTGATCAGGGGGAAACTGGAATGCTATAATAAGTTGTTGTTCATGGCTAGCGCAGACCTTGACTTGCTCAATTTATCATTGTTATTGCAATCTTCGGAATTTGCATGTAAATTCCTTTGACGATTGTATAATTTTCGGAGCCAAACTCAAAGACATTGGATATACGACGTTGTCTGATCGTATGCTGTCCATTTGAGATTTCTAAACACACAGTGTGATGTGAGTGAGACAGGAGTTAGTTTCCATTCCAAGTCAACAAAATGTAGAGCAAAATGCACGCCATTACAATTTACACATCATACCAGAAATTTGACACTCTACTTGCAAATTGCAATCTATTAAACTCGTTTTGACACAGTCAAAGTGGCATTGTCTTTTTATTAAAATAAAAAAAAATAAAAAAAGTATCTTATTGCACAGAGGCAGACCCCTGGGCTGTAGCACCACAGATAAGGCCGAGCTCAAAGCCTCACCTACCCCTACTTACTGACTTACACAGAGGCAGACCGAGAGAGACTAATCAAAGGTAAGCTGGTCCCACAAAATCACAACCGTCCAAGGAATCCTATCCACGCACTCTGAGACACTGCATGTACTGATAGTTAGTAGTCCTGCGTTGCACGTGAACATTGCCCCCAATCAGAACCCAACTTTCGTAATTTCATACATCACCCCAACACCAACTCCAATGCCTCTCTCTCACTCTCTCTCTCTCTCTCATGAATAAAACCTCAGCAACCCTTCAAAGGCCAAAACCTCTCTCTCTGTCTTCTCTCTCCGAACCTCATCGTTATCAACTGTAAGTCTTTGATTCACTAATAGGCAACAACCATGAAGAAGCTCTACCGGAAGGGGACGGTTCATCCTTCACCGCCAATCATATCAGACCACCTGGCCTTCCTTCCCGCCACCATCCTCACCCTCGCGGCGGCTCTGTCGCCCGAGGACAGAGAGGTCTTGGCTTACCTCATCTCCTGCTCCAACAGCTCCGTCAACTTATCATCATCATCGTACGGTTCACGTAAGTCCACCGCAGCCTCTGCCGCCAAAAAGGCCGCCGCAAAAGGCAGTGGGAGCGGCGGTGACCACCCGGCGCGGTTTAACTGCGACTGCTTCAGGTGCTACACGAGTTACTGGGTCAGATGGGACGAGTCGCCGAATCGGCAACTGATCCACGAGATCATCGATGCTTTTGAAGATGGGGTGTTGGCTGAGAGTAAAGGGCAGTCAAACTCAAATTATAATAATAATAACAGTAGGAAGGAGAGGAGGAACAAGAGGGGTCATAATGGTGGGTCATCGGGTGAGTTGAAGCGGTCCGAGTTGAGTTTGAAGAAGAAGGAAGTGGCTCAGGCTCACACGGCGGATCAAGAGACAGGTTGTGGTGGAGGTGGTGGTGGAGCGGTTGATGAAGAAGACTCAGAGAAGGGTTCAGTGAGAAGGTTTGTGAGCTTTGTTGGAGAGAGGATATGGGGTGCGTGGAGCCAATAAGTTTTCCCAAATCTCAAAGACTACATCAAGCAATAATTAAGTGAAAATATGACTTAATTATGAGGTGGGTTTAGTTAATTCCGTCTTCTTCTTAATCTTCATCTTCATATCTTCATGATGTTCAAAGCTAAAACTCTACTTTTGCTTTTCTTTTCTTTTGTTTTTTGGCCGTAAATTACCCTTTCAAGTACATGTAAACAAAAATGGGTAATTTTAATTTTGACCTTTGAGTCATCAAAAATTAGTTTGCAACAACTGTGACTCTGAGTGTTTGCCTTATTATTTTGATGGTGCATGCAAAAATCTATTATTTTTGGAATGAGAGCACGGGGTGTCTTTTGACTCTTTCCTCTTTGGTTGGGAAAATGTTGAACGACCCGTCGTTTGTCAAAGCATATCTTTGCCAAATCGCCAAATGCCTTGGCTTCCCATATTTTGGCATCAACATAATTCACCAGTTTATTATTATACACAAATTTTGATAATCTCGTATAAATAACAAAACAACATCTATTTCTATTTCTACTTGCAATGAGAATCGCAGAGGTGAGGTAGGTGTCGCAGTGCACTAGCCAAACACAAAAAAATTAGTCTTCGATTAAAGCAAAGGAGCGAAAAGAGTTCCCCACTATAAACTCCAGTCCAAACCCTCACCTTCTTTTCGTTGTTCCCCAAGCCCATTTATTCCTTCCATAATTGGTTAATTTAATATATAACATTACCTTTTGTGGACGAATTTACCCCTTTTCCAACATCAATCCTAAATTTATTGTCTATATGGTGGTGTATGCTAGCTCAATACTTTCGAGGAATAAAACCTCCAAGAGGAAAATGGGAAAAGGAAAATGGTTGAGAGCAAATTGGCTTCCTTTTGAGGAATCACTTAAAACGATGGGAAAAAAAAGGTGAGGGAGAATTGCAGTTTACCAAACCGAAAGAAAAAGGTCATCCACACTTTTGTATTTAGTTTTAGACTAAACTCCAGTATAAATATTCCAAGTGGAAGTGGACTTTTTAACAACATAATTAAAGAAGAAACTCACTTTGTTAACTCTAATTAACCTTGTACGGTTGCACCTAATTACCAACAATGAGATACTTGTAAGTTGTAAGCACATATATGCACCCACCACATGCCCTCTCCGTTAAGTGAGAAACGTATCCATCTTTGACATTTCCTAAGAAAAGTGCATTATTCAGTTGATCGAATCGAAATAAAAAGGGCATTTGGGTAATTTTATAAAAAGGAAACAGAATATTGTAATAATAAAATTTGGTAAAATAAATGAGAGAGAGAGAGAGAGAGAGAGAGAGAGAGTATCTTTGGAATGCACATCTTGGGTTTGTTTGGGGCCAGTAAATAAATAAATACCGAAAGAGGGGGACAATTAGCCAAACTCTCGGTGCCTCCAGCACATATTCCCCGACCATATAGCTTAACATGCACCTACGTATCATCACCGTACACGTAGCACGGAAAACCTTCCTGCGTTATTTTGACGGTCTAGATTTATCGTTAAACTAAACCCATCCGTACACGTTTTCCATTAGGTGGTTAACAAACTTTAGTTTAAGTCTCCAAACTGGCAAGCATTAGCTGAAGATTGTGTGAGTTGAGTTTACTCTTGAAATGAAGTATAAGCAAAACAATAAAGTTGCATTATTATTATTATGTACAAGCGATGGTTTAAATTAATCTAATTTATGTAGAGATTCGGATACTCACTTGATGTCGTTTTTTAGCTTTGTCCTCGCGCGTTTAATGTATTTATTTCTTGGTGAGCCATCCAAAATTCTTCACACCACTCATGATGATAAATTGATAATGCAGAAAATAAGAGTTGGATTTGGATTTTTGAATGGGTCAAGGTCAACAACTTTTAACACTTAGATGAAGTCCTCAAATAAAACCTCCAAGAGCAGGCAGGCACAGGCTCATGCTCATCCACAATTAAGAATGAACATCTCTTTGGCTTTTTTTGCAAACTTTTTAAAGTTCACGTTATGTTCGTGATGCAGATAGCAACTGAGCGTTTCTCCACTCATCATATATATATATATATATATATATATATATATATATATATATATATATATATATATATATATATATATATATATATATATATATATATATATATATATATATATATATATATATATATATATATTTATCAACTTGACGTGTTTTACTGAGCGTTGATTTCGTTTGTAGCTTTCACAAAAGTCTTATTAAGACTTAATTAAACCCAAACAAAACGCTTGCATGCAGCATATGCATAATAATGCATGCATGAATTAGTCAATACCAAAAAGCAGATTCTTTCTTTTTAGTCCACAGTATCAAATTCAAATGCTTTTTCCCTAAGTTACAAAACAAAAACCCATTGGAATCCATTATGTATGTGAGATTAAAAAGCAAAATGCTTTTCTTTTCTTAAACACATAACGATTTTTCTATTATTCACGAATATCAATCATTTCATTCATGGTTTTGTCAAATGAACTTCGAATTCACGATCAAATAATTGAAGTTGGCCAATGACAAGTTCACAACCAACCAGTGAAGAAGATTCCTCTTATTATTTTTACACCTGGAGTGATTTCTATTTCACTTTTGTGATTGGAATTTAATTAAACTCTTGGGGTTTGGGGTTTGGGGTTTGTGATTGGAATTTAATTAAAATCTTGGAGTGATTTCTATTAAAATCTTCTTCTTCTTTTTTTCCTTTTTCTTTAATACTCATAATTCTATATCTGAACATTCACATCAAAGTTTTTACATTCCTCACATACAGTTACATTAGATGATTGAAAAAACATCGTGTACAAATTATAATGGACTCATTCATTGACTCATTTGACAGCCTTTTATGATGGAAATAACAACAGCAATACCTTGTAATGTGGAGTCAGGCATGTACAGGTACAGAAGAGGAGCTCATGGATACACAGCCTTTCAAGCGTTCAATAATGACATTTCGGCTTACCAGCCCAGAGTGGTGCGTGAGAGGAAGACCCTCCTTCGCACACTCATCATACTTCTCTAAAGCAGACACAATGTCGCTAAAATCCGGCCGCTTCGAAGGGTTTGCTGCCCAGCAGCGCTTGATCAGGTGCGCAAGAGCCGGTTGACAACTAGCCGGCATCGGAGGGCGTTCATTCTGCCGCATCAAAATAAAATGATGCTTATTTCCTCCAATTTCAGCATTTTTTTTTTCATATGTAGCATCGAACAAAAGATTGATTACGCACTTGTAACAACTTTAAATAGGAATCTTATTCTATAAGAGCTTTGGAAGCCCCTACATAGATGTGGACTGATGTAGCAGCTAGCATTGCAGCATATATATAACCAAAACCACATCTTAATTAATGACCAATTCCTGTTCATTCAAAGCAAATACATGTTTCACTAGAATGTTCCTAGTCCATTTAGGATCCAAATTATGAGAAATCCAGAATTGAAAAATAGTATATATCAAGTTAGACAGAGAAAAAAAGCGTAAGACCTAAGCATATTTCAAGAAAGATGGTATGGAATATCTTTTGACTGTAATGAAAGGATGTGCAATTTGAGAATAACCATCTCACCTTTTCAGCCACAGCAAATGCAGCCTGCACAGGGGTCATTCCTTGAAAGGGAAGCAAAGCTGTTGTCAGCTCCCATAACACAATCCCGAAACTATAAACATCAACCTTCCGAGTACAAGGTTTCTCCTTGATCATCTCCGGCGCCATCCAACGGTAAGTTCCCTTGTTTCCCTTGGTTTCCTGGCACTGTGTTTCAAGACACGATGTACCAAAATCTGCCACCTTAACCCTCATATCATCATTAAGAAGCAAGTTATTGGATTTGAGGTCCCTGTGGATCACCCCTTGAGAATGAAGATACTCCATTCCTCGGGATATGTCAAGAGCTAACCTCAGTATTGTTTCTGTTGAAAGAGAGTATGGCTCTTTCTTGTTGAGATACATCCTCAGCGTTCCTTGTGACATATATTCCGTGATGATACAGTACACAGGGGGCTTTTTACAAGCTGCAATAAACTGTGAATAAAAAGAGTTTACCAATTTAGCAACAAGATATTCAATAATCACATGAGCAAGTGTTGATGCAGAGTATTATTGGATTACACCTAGTCACCACCGGTTAAAATGCTAACCTATATTATATGCTAACATGATAAAACCAACATATAATATCGGAGATTAAAGGGAAGGCCAATGAAAGATGTGGGATTTACATATTAAGAGCCTAACTTATATTTGATTATCTAGACAACCAAACCAAACCGAGTTTGACAGAGGAGGATCAATGCCGATTTCCACTAAACTGAAGTGAAAAAACAGATAGAGCTATACTTTTACTAACATGTTCTGATTTACAATAGTAATCTATAGATAATACTAATAGACAGAGCAGAGCCAAGGGAGCCAAGGGACTTTGTTAACTAACTAGCATCCTCCAATACACTATTTTCCATTAACTTTTTTAAACATTTGAAAGCAAGAAAACCTTTAATTAATGTTACCAATAATAGTAGATGAATTTTTGTTTTGGGAGTTGGAACATAAACCTTACCTGCACTATGTTGGGATGAAAGAGACGTGAAAGCAGGGCAACTTCAGACTTAAATTGCTGCTCAAGTAAGGTTCTGGTCTCCTCCCTCTGGTTTGGAATTCTCACCATTTTCACAGCAACAGCTCTCTGCTTGTAGATTCCACGATAAATCCGACTGTGTGCTCCAGACGCGAACTTGTTACCAATAAACAGCTGGGAAAGATCAGCAGTCCACTCCTCCTGGTCCTCCTTTGACACCTCCCAAGTTTCCACATTTTCTGACTCCAATATCATAGACCATGAGTCCAAGCTATCAAATCTCTTCCTCTCCATGCTGTCCATGTCAGAATTGAACTGGGGTCTCGACGAGGAAGGGTTTGGTAAAGACTTGCTCTTCGACTTTCGAAGACCAAGTGCATGGAAACATGAGGCCGCCATTGGGGTTCTGACTGAGGTGGTTCAATAAGCCCTTTAAGGAAAATTGGTATTATTACATGAAATATGGCAAGTCTTCTGTCAAAACAAACAATCAAAAGGTATTTTCCTTCTGAATGTGTGAATTGATTTCAGGAAGTGCATGAACAGATTCCAAAACATGGATCACGAAGAAGAGTGGATTACATATGTGGGTTTTCATCAAGTAGCGGAACAGGGATGTTATCAAGGAATAAGCTTCAAAATTCTCAGAGAAAAAACACAAACATAGAAGAACCAAGAGACTATTTTCCATGAAAAAGATAGGCCAATTGTTGTGTATCAAAGGAAAAATGAATGAGTCGAAACCTTGTGATTGTGATGAAAGTGAAACACATGGAAAGGGAGATAACTTGGTTTCATGGTTTCAGGGATTAGAAGCAAAAGAAGAGAGAATGCATGAAAATGAAGATTTTGCAGATGAAGAGAGAAAGGGGTACGCAGATTTTCACGGTTGTTTTGTTTGTGATAGGATAAGGAGGATTAGGTCGTTCAGTTGTAGAAAGATGAATTCAAAGGCAGAGATTTCAGGGGTGGCTCGTGATTGCTCGGTTCAAAAGTATACTTTTTTTTTATTGGTTTGAGAGAGAGAGAGAGAGAGAGAGAGAGAGAGTCAGCTACTCTGTTATGTTCTGTTTCTGTAGCAGGTTCTTTTTAGCATCATGAATGCTAAGTGGCCACAGTGGCAAAGGTTTTTTTAGAGTTGCTGTTCCTGGAAACTTGGGATATATCCCAATTCTTTAACTGTAATTAACAGTAATGCCACTTCTGCTTTGCACAAATGCCATACTTGGGTCAATAAAAAGAAGAAAAAAAAAATGGTCTTATACAATGGGGGCCGTCAAACCCAAAATAAAAAGGCAAAAACAATTTCTTTTAGTGGTTGTCTGAATTTGAATTTAACCATTGTCAAAATTAAACAATTGCATCAACAACTCATTGTTCTTCTTACTGAGCGATTTGGGATTTAAATTTGCCCAAATGAAATGATCTATTACTCTCACCATCATAGTATATGATTGACAATGCCTAATCTTGTTTATGTCCTTATTAATTTATTTGTTAATGAAAATTTGATGAATATGTGAATATTTTTGCCTCTTCTTCTTTATCTCCTCTGCTTCTTGAAGAAACTTGGTGATGGTTCTGATAGTCTGATTTATGTCAATACCGTACCAGGCATAATACTTGGGCAGCTGCCAAAGCTTAATTCATCCAGAGCCAGACTAATCTCACAAGGACAAGGAGAAAAGAGAACGAATCAATCAAACGCGGACTAAATGGGCTTTCAAATACATGTAACGTGACAAGTGCAATGCTTGATTTCATATGTTTTTGATGATTTATGTGTTAATTAGAACAAATCTTTTACATAAGCCGTGCTATCTGCTCCAACCAAAAACCCAAAAAAATTATATTGAATATTTAAATAGTTTAGCCGCGCGGCATACGTTCTAAATGTATTCGAATATTTAAAGGGTATAGCCGTGCGGCTATACTATTCAAAATTCAAAAGTGTAAAGAAGAAGAACTTACAGCAGCCAGTTCACTATCAGTGTCACATTCTGTTCCTCGTCTTTGTCGCTTTTCCTCTTTGCGCCCAAGTTTATCAATTTGCCGTTCAGTTTCTTTTTTAACGGTAACCCGAAAACACAAAGTGCAATGCTTCATTCCATATGTTTTTGATGATTAATGTGTTAATGAGAACAAATCCTCCAAAGAAGTTGTGCCATCTGCTCCAACAAAAATTCATGGGTAGAAGGGAGCTGTTCGAGAATACACAAGGAAATCGAATGCGCGGTTACAGTTGGAGGAAATGGGCTTAGCCCGATTTAAGCCGACAAGTACATAACATAAGAGCAAGTTGGGCTGCGGGATAAGCCCTGTTTGGAAGAATGCCCTCTGCAGATGAGGAATTGGACAAAAGTTGAATGCTAGTTCATAACTTTTGATAGAAGGTTTCCCGGTGGCATTGGTTAGTAGATCCCCACTAGTTGGAGGTGTTGATTTATCCTGCCTTTCTCCAGTTGCTGGCTAAACGTCTAGGGTGAGAAACATAATATATAAATAGTATAGCCGGGCGGCTATACTGTATAAATACATTCGAATATTTTAATAGTGTAGCCGATCGGCTATACGTTATTGACATATTAGAATATTTTAATAATATAGCCGTGCGGCTATATATTGGTAATATATTATAAAGGCTATATATTGTTAATATATTCTAAAATTTTAATAGTATAGCCGTGCGGCTATACATTGTTAAAATATTCGAATATTTTAATAGTATAGCCCAACGGCTATATTCAAAACATATAGCCTGGCGGCTATACTCGTTTAATATATTCGAGTACAGCCGGGCGGCTATACGCTTTTAATATATTCGAATATTTAAATAGTATGGCCGACAGGCTATACTGAATATTTTACAGTATAGCCGCACGGCTATACTGTTAAATATATTCCAATGCTATAGTGTTTAAATATATTTATTTTTGTTGATGGTGGATGCTCTCTCTCTCGCTCTAGGTTTTGAGAGCTTTGGTGTTTTCTAATTCTTCAGGTTTAAATATCATGCGATACACACAACTAATTGTTGCATCATTATTTACAGGAGTTTTGGGAGGTTTGGAAGGATCACACATTCAGATTTTGCTTCGATTGTACCTAGTGCTCGGCTGAGATAGTCATAAGGACAGACCCACAATATTCACACCTCGCTGTTGAGTCCGGTGCTTCGAAATTTTATAGTCATTTTATCCCTTGGCTTCCCCCTAGGGTTGAGGAGGTAAAAGAAAGGAACTAAAGATTCTGCCTACATACATACAGCTATATATATATATATATATATGCATGCATGCTTCATGTCTTTCTACTTTTATGTTGCCTTTTACTGTTATCAGAATTACTCAATCCAAACTTCCTTTGCAGAAAGAGAAGTTGGTTCCTTACACGGACCCAAACTGGCAAGAGAAAAGAGAGGAGGTCTTAGTTAACAGGGTATATGCCTTTGTACTTGTTATCAGGTTTTCAGATTCCCTAATCACATTGCTGCTGCTGCTTCTTAAATAATGACTCAAATCATATATTGCTTATTTCCATTTCAGATACAACAAATTATAGATAAGCATATTCAGAAAAGGAAGATTGAAGAAGTGGGAGATGCCATGAAATCTTTGGATTTCAAAAGAGAGATTTAGCACTTTTCCGTCAAGGTAGATTCCTTATTATTTGTAATCAGATTCATAGCCGATCGATGTGATAATATGCATGTAGTTTGCTAAGCTTGGGCATGTGACTGATCATTTAGAGCAGAATGAAGACTTTCCTAAACAAAAATATGTACAAGTTGGTCCTACATTCCATGCTTCTGCTAATTTAGCTAGTTTTCATTGTCATTGGTTTATTTGATATCCTTGTGTACATTAATGTGTTTATTTTTGAGATGTATGCAAGTACATGAAATATTTTGACTTTTGTGTTGATAGAATGGAGAGCGTTGCTAAGACATATGTGTATTTATTTAGATGTGTGATTTAGTAATGCAATATCTCATACTCCTACATTCCTTTTGTTTAGGTTTGTTTAGGTATTCCGATTCAAACACCTTACAATTGACTAAAAAGTAATGTATAATAATTAAAGATTTACTTACCATTGATCACTTCCCCGTCCTCCATCAATGCTACAATTTGGATATCTCATTGGTTTATTCATATCTTATAGTTGGTTACTTTGGTTTTCAATACATGATGATCTAATCTTTTATACCCCTTGGAGCTTTATGGCTCTCTCGAATCTTGTTTTCAATACATGGGATGATGGAATGGAATGGAAATGTATGTCCTTAACATTGGGTTCATTCACATTCCAAGAATGATTGATTGATTCAATTTCAACTATTACTTGTAGCATATTTAATGCCCATCATGGTCATCACCCAACACTCATTTCAAACATGAGGCGGATTTTCAATGACTTAGTTTCACTCTATTACAGCTCACCTAACCTTCCTTCTCTCTCTCTCTCTCTCTCTCACGTACACACACACGCACACTATTTAATTATTTTTATTTGATTTATTTTCATTTGTTTACATTCCCCAATCCTTGTCCTGCTGCACCGACAACTTTTCTAATAACGATGATAAATTCTTCTGAAATCTCAACCCAATAACTTTGCAAATGATTATAACCATATATGAGCTTTCTACTACTAAAGGTTTCATGAGGAGTGAATTTGAAAATAAATTGGGTCAATCCCCGGTTCGGCCTATTGGGTCAATCCCCGGTTCCTCCAGTATGCAGCTGCTGACCAATAGGCCCACAGTCCAAATACAACTAGAAAGTTTGAATTCAATCTTTAAGAAGAATCAAGATAACGTCATTTCAAAAAATAAATATTAAAAAAAAAACAGGAAAAACGTAATTTCCTGAATAAGGATGCAAAGAGAGAATCCCTTGTAAAAGAAAAAGCGGAAAAACCTTTACCGGCATCACAAACCTTCTTCAAGTATCAAATAAATATTAAATTGCTGCACAAGTCAGAGCCCACCACAACATCTTGACCAAATTACCCTTGCAAAGGTGTTAATACTTTTCAAATTTACCTTACCCCTTTCACAAGTTCACAACGAACCAAATCTATTTCCATTCAGTCATATATGTGATTAGGTTAGGTCTGTTTTACCGTTTACTACTTTGGAGGAGCGCATATGTTTCGCTACCGACTAATTGAAAAATCAAATTCCAATGTTGCCCTTTTGGGTTTTTAAAATTCCACTATGTCTTGAATTCATAAACCACATTGTTGTGTGCACTCCATGATTGTGAGTGTGACAGAGAGACCCATTCTGCCAAAATCTTTGTATTAAAAGCAACAAAAAAATAAAAATAAAAATCAATGTCTTGAATGATCTGTTTTTTGTATTGAAAGTTGGCATCAACCCTAGCACCAGCACACATATATGATTTACAACTAATTCGTGTATTTTTATCTACCGACTATAGTTCCTGTAAATCTAATCTTCATTGCATTGAATTGGATTTAATGAGATTATATTCGTCCTTAGCTTATAAATCCCCAACCATCACAATTTAATAATCATTTTATTGTGCATAAGCAGAATCTAAGAAGATTCTAATATTTGAAGATTTTATGACAACCATATCTATGCTATAGGACCCCATTTCATTAACCACAACAAACCCAACTTCTTGGTGGGATCTGGACCTATAAGATTGACAGTGAGATATCACGAGTCATTCTATAGTGAGGGTCTTATATATGATCCTTAGGTGAGATCTTATTTTTTTAATCATTGGATCAAATTGGTTAGTCATTGAATCAAATTGATTAGCTTTATTTAACATTTAAGAGATAAGACCTCACCTAAGGACAATCACTATAGAATTATTGGAAATATCATATCATACGGGCTATATGGAGGGAGGGTAATTTGCCTAATTGTGTTTTAACATCATATTTCATAAAGGAGAAGCAAATGTGAGTTAGGTCAATTGGCCAATATAGTATACATGTCTCATTTTAACTTTTCTCGTATATTAGAATAGTTTAGAATATTGTCATAACAAAAAATAAGAAAATTCCACGACATTTTTAATGTCATTTATTAAACATACTCTTACTATTATTTGATGAAAAACGAAAGAATGGAGTGATGGATGTTGTTTATTAACTGCAATGGGTGTGCTGGAGATGATTGATTCATCTCTAAAGTGAACAGCTCAACTACAAAAAGGAGCTCGAGGGTAAAAGGGTAAAATCAAAGACAGACTACTTAGTGAATACGTATGTGGGGTGGGTACATTATACATACATCTACCCATACATCACATGAAGGCTTTGATTGAAGGCTTGAAGAAGGCACGAGGAGAGAAGAGGAGGGGAGCAACCAGCCATCATTGTCATCTAAATGGGAAAAACCCAATCAAGTAAACTCGCTGTACCGTCATTTGAAGACAGGGTACACACACGTCATTATCACAAAGCCACAGACCCATTTCCGTCATTTGACTAACCTCCTCCCTCAAACACCACCATCTCCATTCACACACACGCACACACACTGACACTCTCCTCCTCAGTCCCCTCCTTCACTCGCTTTCTCTCTACTTCTGCAGCTGCTGCTGCTGCTATTCTTCTCTCTCTCTCTCTGAAAAACCCAAAAAGCCCAATGGGGAGCCGAATCCCATCGCACCAGCTCAGTAACGGGCTGGTGGTGTCGGGTCGACCCGAGCAGCAGCTCAAGGAGCGCCAGCCCACAATGGCGTCACGCGCCGTCCCCTACACCGGCGGTGACGTTAAAAAGTCTGGGGAGCTCGGCAAAATGTTCGATATCCCAATCGCCGATCATCCTCCTCATCTCCCATCCAACGGTCCTCCTCCTTCCAAGCTCTCCGGCTCACGCCCTTCCTCCTCTTCCCAACACAACAGCGGATCCGTTCGATCGGGACCCAACTCCGGCCAGATTTCCAAGAAATCCTCCGGGCCCTTGACGCCTCAGCTCCAGCCCACGGGTCTGATTACGTCCGGGCCATTGGGCTCGGGCCCACTGGGTTCCGGACCGAGGAGGTCCTCGGGCCAGCTAGAGCACACCGGGTCGATGAGCAAGGTGGTGTACGGGTCGGCCGTGACGACCTTGAGCGAGGAGGTGAAGGTGGAGTTTCGAGTATCCAAGGCGGCAGTGTGGGTGTTCATGGTGGTGGTGGTGATGGGGTTGCTGGTGGGTGGGTTTCTGATGGTGGCCGTCAAGAAGTGGGTGATTTTGGTGGCGGTTGCGCTCGTTTTGGTGCCCGTGGTGGTGGTGATTGTGTGGAATTACGCCTGGGGGAGAAGAGGGTTGCTAGGGTTTGTGAGGAGGTACCCTGATGCTGAGCTTAGAGGTGCCATTGACGGACAGTACGTCAAGGTCACCGGGGTAATTTCACTCCCCCCCTCTCTTTCTGATGCTCGTTCTTAAAATAATTCAGCTTATCTTTGTTATCTAAATTAGATACACTTTACACTTTCCCAATTTGTTATTTTTGAAGATTTTGATTTTGGGATACTTGGTGATGCTACTATATGTAGTTTTTTTGTTTTGATTTATTTTGTGCAACGTTTATTTATAATTTAGTCTTGAGACAGAACAAGTCAATTGTTTGATTTTGACAAATACTAAGCTAAATTATTATAAAGAGTTTGGGTTATCATCACTGTCAGTGTCAATTGGGGAAGGGAATCTGGGTACGAGTCCGCTTTGACCCAGGAGGCATAGATTGCCATTTTTCATGAATAATTGTGGCTACCGCGACCATTTGCATTGGATGCTGTAACAATATGGTCTGCAAAATGTTTTCAATTTCTTCTGCTTATTCCTTGTTGTAGATATTAGGGCGTTCAGAACCACCTAGGAATGAGATTCATCACAAGTGCTCTTTTCTTTTACTATGATGGGGTTTGGTTTTTACTTTTTATGTTTGTTTTAATCCGTAGTAAATATATGATGGAGATCTCTTTATGTAGGTTGTTACCTGTGGCAGTATTCCTTTGGAATCGTCCTACCAAAGGGTACCTAGGTGTGTATATGTTTCTACGGAGTTATGCAAATCTAAAGGATGCAGCGGCAAGTCGGAAAATAAAAAATCTAGACATTCAGAGGTTAGTTGTCAGATTATGCTCTGAATTATGTTGAGGTTCAAAGTTTGGCCAATGGTGATTTTTAATACAAATTTATAAATACTGCACTATCAATCAGACATGTATATGTTATGGAAAACCGAAAGAATGTTTACATATGAGGAGGGCCTTGAAAATGTACATACACTAGGTAGAGTCGAGCTTTTTAGGCATGCAGTAGTTTCAATTCAACCATCTTTGGCTCTCTTATGTGCATGTTTCTGGGGGGTGTGAAGCAATAATATAGTCTAATTGACCTGAATTCCCTGAAGAAGTAAATGATTGCCATCTTTGCGATTATTTTACCCCACCAAAAGACTGCATATGTGTTTTTCCTGTTTACCTTCAATCAGGTTCGTTGGTACAGAAAAAAGTACCTTCTATTGTCTGTAATATCAAAAGCTAATTTTATGATTATTTGAACAGAAATATGTGGCTGATTTTTACATATCAGACTTCCAATCTGGGTTAAGAGCATTAGTGAAAGCTGGCTATGGGGCCAAGGTTGCCCCATTCGTAAAACCAGCCACTGTAGTGGATGTCACAAAGGAAAACAAAGAGTTATCTCCAAGTTTTTTGCGGTGGCTTGCTGAGCGCAACCTCTCTACCGATGACCGCATAATGCGCCTCAAAGAAGGGTATGCCATTTCTCTGTTTCTAGCCCCCTAATAACTTGTGGATGGTTGGAAATTTTTACTTTGAACTTGTAACTAGAAACTTATATAGGATTATGCAATTTACAAGATCGTTTACAATTTATAGGCTTTTAAGAGTGTTTTTTCTTCGTCAGGTATATTAAAGAGGGGAGCACCGTAAGTGTGATGGGGGTTGTCAGGCGCCACGATAATGTGGTCATGATTGTGCCTCCAACAGAGCCTGTTTCAACAGGCTTTCAATGGTTACGCTGCCTTCTCCCAACCTATGTTGAAGGCCTCATTCTGACATGCGATGATAATCAGAATGCTGATGTGGTTCCTGTGTAGATATATTTAGTTTCATGATAGTTTTGTTTATAAGTGGATTTTGCATGTAAAAAGTTGAAGGGTGAAACTGAAGGAGAAAGCGGATACCACCACCAGCTCTGTTCTTTCCTTTCCTGGTTAAGTGTATGTAATTTCGCCTAAAGACACAGTTCAGAGAGATAGACCGAAGATCACCTAATAATCAAGGTTAAGCCTTCTGTGAAGGTGGTAATGCAATAGGGAAAAAAGGATCTACTACTACCCTTTGAAGAAGTTCCTAGATGATGTAACGTCAGAAATCAGGATGCTCTGGTTTCATGTACATAAGTCAATAGCTTCATAGAGTGCCCAAAGGGGTTCGGCTGCCTTCCGTCTGAAGCTCAATTTTAGTACAAAAAGTAGTTACTAGGGTTTCTGTGGTTTTCTTTTCCATTATAATCATCTGCCCTCACGTGTATTTTTATCTTATTATCTCGTGTATTGTTTGTGACAAGCTGAGTAATGTTAAAATTCTTCTAAGCATGGTTTGTAGTGTTAATGCTTCCTGCCCTCTCAAAAAATGTATGTGGCAAAAGTTATTGTCCTTGTGAGATTAATATTATTATTATTAATTAGCACTTTATTCTATGCGTCTGTATCAGATGGGAAAGAATAACTACATTCTCAGATGCGAAAATTTGACCATGAATGAATAGCATTATGGGTTAATTCTATTGAAAAGCCAAAGAGTACCGGCTCAGAAACACCAGTAACATGACATTTTTTGTGCGCACTTCGTCCCCTCCCAAATCCTTTTTGTCATGCAAAATTGGAAAATTGGTTGCAGTGGAAGCTTATTGATATTTGCATCAATGTCTAACAGTAAATACCAAATTCACGTGTTCTTGTAACTAGTAAGCATTTGAGAAGCCAAAACACATAGATAAAGAAAGGAACTAGAGTCTAGAGGGCATCCCTCCGGCCACCACCACAGTTTCTCCCGTTATGTAAGAAGCATCATCAGATGCCAAAAAGGCAGCGGCAGCAGCCATGTCTCCAGTGGTACCAAGCCTGTTAAGTAACGTCTTCTCCTCGAGGGACTTCCTCTGCAATAAATTACCATTCAAATTCAGTCAACGGCAAAGGTCAATGCCCATTGCCCAAGATCCCTAGGAACTATATACTATATATGCAAAGAAATATGTCGATATATACATACCACAGCATCAGTTTCTGTAATGTATGAAGCAAAGTTTGTAGGTACAAAACCAGGAGCAACACAATTTACACGAGTATTTGGGGCCATATCAGCAGCCAGAGCCTAAAGTAAGACCAGCAAAGAATAATCAGAAGAGATGCCTCGCTTGTGAGTTGATGAAGAAATAAATGAGGTGAAACATGAATCATGTACATACCTTGGTTAGCCCAAGAAGGGCTGTTTTAGTGACCCCATACATTGCCATGGAAGCTGGTGGGTGGTAGCCAGCAATTGAGGAAATGATAACAACTGAAGAACCCTTCTTCAAGTGAGGATCTGCGTCCTGTTAAATAATTAAGTTGTGTTATAACCTTGAATATATTACACCAGAAGTATTATGCACATGGAAAATGCAAAGAGAGGATCAAAATAGCGCATTCCAAAGCTCAAGCAGAAAATTTCCATGGGAGCTCACGATGAGTCATGGCTCCTCAAGCATGTCTACCTATGGCATTTTACCTTCAGAAGAAGTATAGAAGCTTTGACATTTATTTCCCATAGCTTGTCAAGCACTGATTCTTTGGTTTGCAATATGGTATCAATTGATGGATTGGCAGCAGCATTTGATACAACCACATCTATTTTTCCATATTTCTGCAAACAAACAAGTAAATTTCAACCATTTAACAAAATGGCATTGAAGAACCATTTGAAATAGAAACAGTAACTGTTTTCAAGAAAAAGAGAAATCTGTAGCCATCACAAAGATAACAGCTTTTTAACTCATCTGTCATTGAATTTGAGACCTCCGCAAGTTGATTTTTAAACCTAAATAAAACTCATACATCCCACATTTTTCTCATAACTTTCTGTTTATATTTCCCATCTTGCTTGGAAAATAAGTGGCAAATCAAGGATTCAACAAATGTTCGTACCTGCACAGTCTTGCTTATCAGGTTCTTCCTCTGTTCTTCATTTGACACGTGACAAACGACTCCAAACGCTTCAATTCCTCCAGCTTTAAGTTTTTGAACTGCTTCATCAACGTTTTTCTGGAAAGATTTGATTAGGCATGAAACAACTCAACACAACTATTCAAAAACAACACAAAACTCAATATCACTTGGCTGGTTGTGGAAGATAGCAAAAGAACCAAAAGTACACATTCAAACATGCACCATTTTAGCTCGATTGAACCTGAAATGTATGTGTAATCCATAAAACTATTGCAATTTTAAGTTCATGATACGTAAGATTTCACTAATTTTTCCTCTCTCCCTTTCTCTCTGGAATTAATTTAAGAGAGGGGGAAGAAATCCAATTTGATGGAACAAATTGGTCCAATCATCGTCTGAGCTTTACAATTTTGAAAAACTAAATATACATTACAAACTGAACATTTGATATCATTTTCAGCAACCGCATATAACGAAATTCAGCGTTTCATCTTTCGATCCCGGTTTCCACAGAAACCAAAAAGAAATCATACCTGAACGGTAATCAGGATGAATTTCATGAAAAACAAAAGGACAAAGATTCAAAATTACCTGCTTGCGAGAGGAGATAACAACAGAGGCTCCTTCCAAACCGAGGCGCTCGGCGATGGCGAAGCCGATGCCCTGAGTGGAAGCCGTCACAATCGCTACTTTGCCTTCGAATCTCCTCCCAATCTTCGATTTCTCCATTTTCTTGGGTTTCTCCGTAACCAAGTTGTCTTTTTTAGCTAAGCAGCGAGCGGAGACTAGTTTTGTTTTGTTTTTTTTTAACTGAAAATTATTGCCTCCTGACCCCAAGGGGAAAACCGTTAAGAGTTTAAGAATTTTTACATAGTAATTATTTAATGTTAAAAATGGTGTGATCCCTCATTCTTTGGTTAATTATTAGTAATTAGAGATAAAAATAGTGTCATTATACTGAAGCTCAATTGATTTATTATTGATTGGGAAGAGAAAATGGTAACAACTAACAACAGAACTAGTATATTGTGCTTCGTTCGTCAAGGCAGGGGTCCGCACGTTAACAGATCCACAAATAGATGACCTTGATCTATCAGGCTATTGATATTTGTTTTATGTCCCAATGAGATAGATATTAGAAAACTGATTCAGATTCAGAGGGTAAGAAAAGCCATTTCAAATTCAGTATTGAAACAATAAGCAAAAGAGAAAAGAAATGGAACATCAATTTAAGCAAGACCATCCCACATACAGCTTAAGAAAAGCCATAGCTTTCAGTATGAAAGCCCAAATACCCAAATCATGTTCACATCTTACATGCCCATGGATGATGATGCATTCCAACTTCTGGGAATGCAACTCTCAAAAGGTATTCAACCAACAATAAAATGGATGGATGATCAAATATAAAACAATATAGTCTGATATGCCATGCCATATATCTAGAAACCAACATTTTAATCATAAGGATTTCTAAAATTCTTCAACAGTTCTGGGATTTCACGGCCAAGCATATCATCAACAGCTTGAATCATTTTCGGCTTCAATTTCTCAAATTTATCGATGTTGTAACCTTTCAAGACCTCTCTAAAGTGCTCCACATCTGGAAAGTCTCCTTCTGGTAAATGGAAGTCCTTCTGAACCTGTTTTTGGAAAGCTTAGTATGAGTAAGTATGCTTAGAATATATAGGGGTAAAACTAAATAGTGTTAAAAAAAGACCTTTGCAAATTCATCTTCAAGATTATCCATCAGTCGTTGTTGAGTCTTAACTTTGCCCATCATGGCAGGCATCTCCTTTTTCAGATGACTAATTATATAGGCATGAGTCGTAGCAGCTCTAGCACGTTTAACAAATTCATTGATCTACAATATACAACATTAAAATCAAATTTTATCAGTGCAAATTTAAGAACCTAATATAGAAATAAAAAGGGACACACTATATATCAATCAATATGCATCTACATCGGTACATGCCATAAACGTGAGGCAAAGAGGAAAAGTAACCAAGTATTCTTTGGTATATCAACCAAAATAGTAACAGAAAATATCAAAATAAAACATATAATCTTACCCGTCGATCACAAGCTTTCTTTGGTATATCAACCAAATCTGCCAGCAGATTATCTTGTTCTTTTTCGAAAAGTTCTTTACCCATAGGGCCAACAGATGATTCATTGACAGGTTTATCATTAAATGATCTGCAAAGCCAAGAAAAACAAAAACATGATTCACTTAAATCCACTACGCATAAAACCAGCTTAAATAATTAACAAATTCAAAACTAGAAAGCTTACCCAATATAAACACGCACAACTTCCGGAGTATTCAAAACTTTTCCAAGTGACCACATTAATGCCCCATAAACTCTCATCAACTACAATGTGTAATTGAAGAGTTAATAAGTTGAAAAGTTCTATCAAGAAAAAGTAAAATGCACAAAGCCAAAACAATATATAAACTAGAAGTGCATCTCACTTGTTGAGTATCAACTTGATCTGCTTTGTTTAGAACCACTCGAATCTTGTCATCATGACCACGTAGAGATGTAATTACACGTTTAAACTCATCGCTGATATCAAGCTTATGAGGGTCGAACAGAAGAAGAATAACATCACATTTAGCAGCAAACCACGATATAGCACCAGTGAAATCATAACTCCTTTGTGTTCGTTGCTTTTCTCCCGATAGAACTCCAGGAGTATCAACAAATGTAATTTCATCTAGCAACTGTAATCATAAAAAAGAAAGATCAACACACTGATGAAAATGTAATACAAATATATGGTTATCAAAAAATTTTAACTCACCGGATGTGGCATTTGAGAACACTCAAATTTTGACAGAAATGCACCTCCAAAAGTTGCTAACCCACTAAAAGGCATGTCTGCATGAACGGCTATTGTATTTCCAGGAATACTCCTCTCATCAGGTCCAGACTAAGTACAAAAACATGAGTATTGTTCAAAATTACCAAGAACATTTGACACACAATAAACCTCATACTACAAAGAAACAATGATAAACTTAATTAGTTTTAAAAAGGAATCATTGTTATTAAAAACTATACCATCACAGCAACAAATCTATCAGTTGTAGGTTCTGGACCAATATGAGCTCCTGTTTAAATAAGTAAACGTTAAGTCGTTAAATGGTTTGGTTGTCAATTAATCACTTCAAAATATAATGAAAGAAAACTTAACCAACCTGGATAGTTACATCCTAGCAAATGTTTGATAAATGTTGTTTTTCCAGTTGAATATTGTCCCAAAAGCATGACCATAGGCTTAGCATCAAAATCACTATTAGTCTGCAAAAAAAAAAATCAGCCATAAATTTAGCAAATGCTCTACTTAAACAAAACATTACGCTAAGAAGAGCAAACCATATTTCATTCCCCATCCTAATTTGAATGATAAAGAGGTGAACTAACAAAATCATATATATCCCACTAAATACATCAGAAGATATGAGACTCACCAATGATGGAGATACAAAGTCATTGAAGCGATAAGTAAGTTCCAATGGCTTTAGTTTTTCGTTGTACAATCTCTTCAAACCATCAGTTATAGATGTAACAGCAATAAGAGGTAGCTGAAGAAACGGATTTGAACAAGTCAGGCAATAAAGAAAGAGAAGGCATCCTTTTATAAATATGAAAAACAAGTTGATATGTAGATTACAAGAATCAAAATAATAAGAGACAAGAAAAAACACCTTTACCAAAGATTTGGGAGTAAAACAATGAATATCGGTTACCAAATTTCAGGGTTAGATGTCTACGAAAAATACAATGTCATATCCGTGAATTAGAACACAGGGAAACTAACTACTTTTAAGTGAATAAGCGAAGAAACTGGTTAGGGAGATAATTCAACTGAATAAAAAAATGTACAACGAGTATACAGTCCTAACTGTAATTCAACCATCAATAAGGACGATAGACTTGCATCACTATCTACATATGCTAATGACAAGATTTTGGAAAGACGACATGGCAACAGTTCTAAAGCAAATCATTCAAAATAAAAAATTATCTCCAGCGGAAGAAAGGACATCTGATCTTACCTTCTTCACTGATTTTGAACCAAACCACTGAGCTGGTGGTTGAGATTGAATGCTTCCTACATCATTACCAACAAACAAACTTAGTAAAAGATCGTAACACAATTTATTCAAAAAAGTTAGATGGATTTTCTAACCATTTACTTCAAGTCCATTCGTCGTTGAACTCTTGGTTTTCTGTTGATATAGAAACTAATAAGTGAAATTCATCTTCACAGTGTAGGCCACAAAGTCAAGATGTAGGGAAAAGGAAGATACTCACGGCTGACAGAGCATCTAAACCTTCCATAAGTGGAGGATTAATGTTTTCCCAGTCAACTGCAATTAAATAAGAATAATGTTTAGAGAGTTCTGAAAGCATAACATTCTTGTCAGCCTCAAGGAAAGGCTTTCAAATAATATAACTTGAGGAAAAAAATGAATGAGACCTAGTCAAATTGTATAAGTTGTATGGTTCTGAATTTATGCATGCAATGCAAAACAGCAAAGAAGTATTAAACAAATATCTTCCACTTGCCTTCAGTTTTGAGGATGTCTGGGGTTAGTTCATGTTCTTGCGCCAAGGAAATCAGCTATCCAATTCGAACACAGATGTGGGTAAGATTCTATTACAATAGCTAATATAACATATCCAAAATATTCTACACAAAAAAGAAATCATGTACAACCTGCATTGCAGTAATGAACTCTGTAAAACCTAAAAATCCCTGTCGCTTATTGTCAGCAATGGCCCAAACCTTCAATGACAAATGAGAAACAGAAGGTGAGTTTCAAACCCCAAACATCAGATTGTCACATAAAAAAGGCTAAGAGACCAAATACAAGATACAAGCAAATTAGCAGCCAAAAACTATTGATCTGAGGGTAAAACCACAAAATCTTACTTTCCAAGTTCAATAAACTAGTTTAGGCTATAAAACAAACAAAATCATAAGCTAAAAGCACTGAAACGGAAAATAGAAATCAGCCTGATATCACAGTGAAACTTAAAAACCTGCTTGAGTTCTTGTCGAGAAAGCTTAGACAGAGCGAAGAACTTAGTGGCTTCGTTACCGGTAATGCGACCATCTCCATCTGAAACAGAAAAACATAGCTAAGAATCAAAACCAATATTTGATTAAAGTTCAGTAAGAATCAGACGGAAACAAATTATACCTGAATCAACCAAGTTGAACCATTCCTGGTAAACCTTCTGGGACTCTTTCGGGCACAGACTGACGGGACCCATTTGAGAGCCGAAAGGAACTTAGAAATTTGAAAAACGAAATGAGATTATGAGAGAGGGCCAGAGCGGCTGTGTGGTTTTTATCTCTTTTTTCTCTTAACAGTTTTGGCGCTTGGGCGAAACGGTATTTTGCCAGTGAAAATATTAAAGCGGTTCGCATTTGAAATATAAGCGGGGCCAGAGTCCCTGTGGAACGTTGAATCATATTGATTTATATGATTTTTACGTTCGGGCCAGGTGATAATCATGCTGGTGGACTTGGACGTCGAAACTGGGCCCCGCTTAGGAAATTTAAAAACAAGGTCTCAATCCGGCCGTTGGATTAATGCAACTGCGTAATAAGGAACAGCATAAGAAGGTGGGGGCGTCTGTACGTCATTGTGACCTAAGCTAATTTTTGTTTGGGGACAATAATAGAGGAGTGCGTAATTTGAAGTTTTGAACTAAAAATTCGAGCGCCTATATGTTCAAATTAGTTTTTTTGTTTTTTTTGGCCAAGTATGTCTTCAAATTAGTTAAGTTCACCCAAAGATTTCATTTCCACATCCCACTCCTATAATTTGAAGTAGTAGTACAGTACTATTCTATAATTTCTCTTTAAAATATTTTCAAAACTTAAAATTTTTCTATTTCGGTTTTTGAAATCTTTGAAACTACAGAAATTCAAAAACCAATAAAGAAAACTTGGGTATAGCTGTTACATTCTTTTTCTATCGTGTCAACAAACTCAATAATATATACTTTGCATGAAATCCTTCATTTACATAAATAACCTGACCCCAAATAAGATGAGGCATAACACTAAGAGCCAAAGAATGAAGACTAACATACAATAAATGACCCCAAATAAGATTATAAAAAAATTAAAATCCAAGAATACGTACTAATTACTTTAATATTAAGTCAATATAGCAACCATTTTCTTAAGGAAAAAGAATAATGACAAGCACAAATAAACTTTTGGTCTTTAAAACAACCAATTAAACTTTTCTTCTCCCTTTCACTTCAAAATAGACACAAAGCAAAGCCGTGTCCATGTCACTCCCTTTCACTTCAAAATAGACAGCACCAACTCTACGAAAGAACAAAAGAATATAAATATTAGTAGTTTGCTCTTGATGATGAGGAAATGTAAAATATATATATTATCACAGAAACTTTGGCCGGCCTCAACCATACCATAAGTTCATAACCATACCTTTGATTTGGAATTAGAAGAAGATTTTCCACGTTTATTTGCACTATTTAAATGATTTGCTGCTTGTTGTTGGGGCATAATGGGAAATTGCGATGCAGTTTTTTTTTCTTCTTTCACTTGCTCGAATATGTAAGTAAAACCTTCTCCCGATTGGGGGTCTTTTTCATCCCAGTCCCCAAACTTGGGTATTGACGCTACTCTAGTATGCTGTTACGTTACAAATTTAGCACAAGATTATTAAAACAAGATGACTAATCAGATCTTTAAAAGACTAACGTATAAAATTTAAACATTTGAATCATATTATTAGCCCTAAATTGATTAATAAACTTTGCTAACCCAAGACACCAAAATTACAGTTAGGATTATAGTGTTTGTTCGGAAAGAGAACTTACAGTGTCGTGACTAAGAAGATCAGAGTGAGAGTGATGGCTACTAGTAGTACTCTTAGGCTTGCTCTGAGAATGGGACGTGTTGCTATGATCGCTTCCAGTTCCAGACGAAGCCAAACTACTCTTTCTTCTATCAGATCTCTCACGTCTGTGTCTTGACTGTTGTTGCTGCAACAGTGAATAATCTGAGTTGCTCCTTTCACTGCCAGACTCTGACATGTTACTCTTGCGGCTCCCTACAGAAGTCTTTCGTCGATGCGCCCCATGGCCTGCGTCTCCCTCAATTTGGTCTGCTTTAGGGTTTCCCTCAGTTTGGTCTGCTTTAGGGTTTGTCAAGGTTCTTGATGTGCTGCTGGAACTCATGCCATTGTATGGAGGCTGTGCCGCTTGGAAATCAAGCATGGCCTTGAAGGCCTCTGGGTTCTCTTCAGGATCATTTGGGTTCCTCTTCACCCCATCTTTACGAGCGTTCTCAAAACAAGCAGTGTAGGATATATTTTCACTGTCCCAGTCCCCAAATTTCGGGACATGGGTTTTTTTCTGCAACATAGTCATTTGAACAAGAAAGAAAGCTACTAATTACTTTACAAGAAAATTAATGGAAACGAACGGTAGGGTTTTGTTGAAGAAAAACAAAAGTGAAAAGTTTAAGAGAGATCCTTTTTTAAAAAGAAAAAGAGTATGCTCTCGACTAAATATCAATGAGAAATTAATGTATACGAATCACGCCACTTAAAATCTAAAAATTTCAAATTTCCTAATTTGTATCAATCAAACAAAGACGGTCAACTATCAATTCAAAACCTGACATTAATTTACGCTATGAATTAATCAAATAAATCCTTAAATAATATATATTCCTTAAGAAAATGAAATATTTAATTTCCAACTCATGAAGCAAACCAATCAACATAAACCAATCACGATGAATTTCTTCACAAGAAGCACAAGTAGCTATAAGTCAAATTCCAAAACTCAAAAAACCATAGATATATAGTAAGAACACATGACTTACGGACATAATATCGGGTCGATTAATTGTTGTAGAAATGATGGGTGAAGAAGAAGAAGAGGGGGGAGGAAGAAAAAGAAGAAGGTGGATCGATTGACCCTTTCTTGTTTTCAGACAATTCAGGACGCGTTTTGAGCACCAAGAAATTAAAGTTGGGGACCTGGACGTGCGTTAGAACATCGTCCATCCGATGGTTACAAAGTTTGCTATAAGCGTATAAACCATTTCAAACCCCTCAAGCAACAATGTCTTTGTTTGTTAGCTAACTATAGTGAAAATTAATCATAAAATAGAAAACTATAGTTCAAATTAAAAAAAATATATATACATTATCTGTTATGGTTGCCATGAAGTGGCGGTTTTGTCGTCCTCTCTTGCTCCTCTTCTTCCTCGTCGGTATTCTCACCATTATTTTTTATTTTTTTTCACCATATTACACCCATATATTACTCATAATATGTAGTAAAGTATATTTTTTTTTAAAAGAGTAACAAACGACCCGAATTATAAAAATTTAAAATAATATGCAGAACTAATTAGTGCCTCTTGTATACATAATATGCTTGCTTAGATACAGAGAGAGAATATACAGAGACATGATTCCTTTTATATAATTTCAGATACGACAAATTAATAACTCACCCTATGATTGGCCTCCGACGGGTTTTAGGGTTGATCGACATTTGTAGGGAAACCATGATGCATAATTCGTATGTGTATAGTAACATTTAAATTGGTTTTTTTCAATTGACATTTCTTATGAAATAATAGATTTTCAACTAATGTGTTTTACTATTGTTTTTTGCTCCATCCTGGAAGTTCTAGGGGTTTAATAATCTCCTGATTTTCAATTAAGAATTATCGATTTATATTCAATTCTCATGATTTTCTCATAAATGAGTTGTTATTAACTTTTAGGCGAAAAGTCATTCTTGGTTTCTGTAGTTTGGCACTTCAACCACTTTTCATCCTGTAGTTTCAATTCCATCAATTTTGTCATTGTAGCCATTCAATGACATGTTAGTATTTTTGTCAATTTCTTTAACGATGCAAGGGGCAATTTCGTCAACCCAAAATCCTTGAGTGTAAAAGCTCGTCTTAAATTCTCCCCATTTCATATTAGGGCTCGAAATTCAACCACTAATCCCAATTTTTGAAGAACCCTAAACCCAAATGACCTATTTCAAGCCCTAATATGAAATTAGGGGAGTTTCAGATGAGCTTTTATGCTCAAAGATTTTGGGTTGATGAAATTGCCTCTTGCATCGTCAAAGAAATTGACTGGAATACTAACTTGTCCTTGAATTGCTACAATTATGAAACTACATGGTCAAAAGTGATTGAAGTGCCAAACTATAAGGACCAAAAGTGACTTTTAGCCTAACTTTTATTTGATGAAGATAATATGTGAGTTGACTTCAAGTCATTACTATTTTGATTTCATTTCTTTTTATGAATTTGAGTTATCGTACCTAATAATCATATTCTACGCGGTAATAATTATATTCGTTTACTATTTTGATTTCATTTCTTTTTATGAATTTGAGTTATCGTACCTAATAATCATATTCTACGCGGTAATAATTATATTCTTTACTTTCTAATTTTGGAAAAAAAAAGGGTAAAACTTAGAGCTTATATTAAAAATTGAACGACAAATGACTCACTAATGTAGTGGTTCAGAGTAATTGGCTCTCAATAGGACATGTATTGTGTGTGTGAGTTCTCCTCTCAATAGGAAAGGTTCTAAAAAAAAAATTGACAAGTTAGAGAATAATATACACGTACGTACGTATTTTTCAATAGCACTTTCATTTTCCGTCACGTCTCAAAAACTCGATAAAATACACATTTTTAAAAAATCAACATGTATGTATATATATTAAAATATTATATAGTGGCCGAACTTTTCAGTTGTACCTTGGCAAAATTTTGTCGAATAAAACACGTTATTCTTTTATTTGTATTTTAAAAAATAAAAAAAGCAGAAGCCTAGGCGCTATTAGGCGGCTCCTTTTTTTTTAAATTTAATTTTTTTAATAAAATAGTATGGCCGGATGGCTATAATTTTTAAAAATAATATATTTAAAGTGTATAGCCACGCTGCGATACTCGTAAAAAAATAATAGTATAGCCGCACGGCTATCCTGGGATCCTTTTTTTTATAATTGTTTTTAATAAATAGTATAGCCACGCGGCTATACTGGGGTCTTTTTTTAAATGTTTTTAATAAATAGTATAGCCGTACGGCTATACCCTTTAAATATAGAGATATTTAGTCATATACTCATTCTTAGCACTAAAACGATAAATAAACCCTACACCATTTAATTTCTATAAACAAACCCAGAAAATGATAGCTGACCCTATTGAATTTAATTTTGATTATTAAATTACTTTGATGCCCTATTGAATGTTTGGGACTTTTTTTTATGAGGTTTTGAGGTTAGATTTGTTTTAAAAAATCAATGACATTTTTGTAATTTAAAAGAAGTTAAAAGCATTTTTGTTAGGTTGTAAATGGGCTTTGGGTGTATTTCTAAAGTCCATTTCATATAGGGTTTCTTTTATAATTTGGGCTCCTATTTTGGGTATAATAGTGAATCTCCCATAAATATATTTAATGGAATATAATCACGCTTTCAGCACAGTATGTTTTGTTTGTTTCAAGACTAGAAGGCGGTTAGCAGATAGCAAAGATCACGTTTCTTCCGAGAAAATAACAAATAAAACCAGGCTAAAGATGTTAAGTGTAGTCCATGCCAATAAGGCCCTCAACTGGAAATCTGCAGAGTTTGTCGAAAATGTCTCTAAATCAAACCCCACAATTCACAGAAATCATATTTTGAACCCAAAGAACAAACTTAAAAACAAAGACTGATTAAATAAACACAGGCTTAATAAGGCTGTTAATGGTATTTACAATGGCCTGTATTAGTTGGCGCCGGTGGTTTTACATAATCTAAACCAGTTTTTCTTTTGGTCTGACTGACAGTTACACACAGGACCTTAGGAAGAATCAAAAAAATCTGGACTGCATAACTGCACAATAAATGAGGTACCAAAAACGTGGTGGTGCCTGCCCTATAAAGAAAGGCATGCATCTTATGCTCTAAGCCACAGTGAGTGTGAGTTGAGGTTTTACAATATCCAACAAGCAAGCAGTTTTTATATTGCCTTTGTGTTTTTCTCTTCCCTTTGTTCAGAAAGAGAGAGTATGGAGATGAAACTGATGGGTTGTTGGTCTCTGATAGTTTTTGGGTTGGTGGTTATGGTTTTGAACAATGCATGTCCTGCAAATGGGGTCACATGCCAAGGGGCCCTAATGACTTTGATGCCCTGTGAGCCATACTTGGTGGGTTCTGGCCCAGGCACTCCTGCCGTTCCTTGTTGTGCTGGTGTCCAAACCCTTGTTTCTGAGGCTTCCTCCACTGAAATCCGCAGGAGCCTCTGTGAATGCTTGAAAAAAGCTGCAGCTGGGATGAAGATTGACCCAGGCAGACTTAAGGCCATGCCCGAATACTGCAAGGTCTCCATGCCCGTACCTCTTGACCCCGCCGTCGACTGCAGCAAGTTCTCTCTCTCTCTCTCTCTCTCTCTCTCTCTCTCTCTCTCTCTTTTCTTAATTATGTATCTAAGAATATCATACAGATTTTTTGTTCATATGATATACATGATTTGGTTGGACTAATGTGTTCTTTTTACTTTTGTGATGTGCAGAGTTCCTCTGTTCTAAAGGCTGTGCATGATGATGGTATGAAATAAAACTCGGAGAATGATTAGCTGCAACCCAGATGTTTTGGGATGTGCAGAAAATTAATTTGTGTTTGAATCCTTTTGTGCATCCAAAATGTGTATTGAAAAGCAATTATAAAGTAAAAGAATGCCATCATTTCTCCAATTTTTCTCTCTTTTTTCTTAACTTGGTTTAGTATCTGCTCCCAACTAAAAAGCAATTAAGCTGTATCCTTTTACAAGGCTATAAAATTTGACATGCATCAGATACCAAAAACTAAATAAAACTCCAAACTCCAAATGCAGCCTCCAGACTCTTCTGAAATAATATGACTTTTATTACCAATAAAAAATAACCCACCAACCCCATCAGCACCAAATGTGTTTTCAGCTGTGGAGGCTTGTTTGAATGAGACTGAGAGTTACTGTTGCATGTCAAGACATTGTCCAGGAGCCTTACTGTTACACCATTTTCATGAGAAAATTTCACTCACCAAAATCTACATTGCTAGGTATTATACTCGGTACAATGTTAACTACCCTGTAATGAAAAAGAAGAAGAAAAGATTAGCATCAATGCAAAACTTAATCTCTGATTCTCTCTGTGTCTCAGAAATGAAAAAAAAATCAAGAAATACCAATTGTCTTGTTGAGCAGCCAGAGCAGAAGGGCCAGTTGAATTGCAAAAATAGAGTGAAGCCACATTCTATCCACCGTGAACCCAAACACTGTGATCCCTGCTCTATTATTCTCCAGATATTTCACTGCAAAAGCGACCACGCGCTATCATTACAAAAAAATAGAAAGAAGCAAAAACATAAATAAATAAATAAATTCAACACTGTCACTGAAGACGATGATGTGTTCCTACTACAACCTAGAGCTTGTCTTTTCTGGAATGAGATTGTGTGAGTGTAAATTGGCACCAGCTTGGTGTTGTCCAAATCGTCATCTTCTCCAGCTTCGTCATCTTCTGATTCGATATCAGCACCAAAAGGAAACACTTGAGCTGAAGAAATCGGAGCCATTGGAGTCTCACTTTCTGTGTAATCAAAAGACTGTATTGTGGCGCAGACATGCCACTTTGCAGCAAGCCCCGTTATCGACTGTGCTTTGTGTGTTATTTTTGTTGCACTTCGCAGGCAAATGAAAAGGCTAATAACTAGGCTAATGGAACATAACTGCAACATGACCAGAAAACAAAAATGGCAATATATATATAATTTGAATCAGATATTACTGGTCATATATGTAAGTGAACGAAAGATTGAAAATTACCGCAAGCTCTCCAGCCTTGAAGATATTAACATGAGCACTAGACCTAGTTACCATGACCAGAGAAATGAGCTGACTCGCTGTGACCATAATTAGAGAGAGCAGGATGAATACTCGAAACCTATGGCTCATCAGCCGAAGGTTCCTTCTGATCTTGAGGTGTTCCATCAAGATCAGCTCAACCTCGGTCTCCTTTTGAAAAACTTGGGCAAAATTTTCTAGTCTCAGTATTTGAAGACGGCAAATAAGCCGGAACAGAACACACACCAGGAAGAAAATTGTGGTTCGATAAAGCCATGAACACAGCTCCAACGTACACAAAATCGTGTTGCTTAAATAGATGTTCCCATAATATGGTAATTCGGTTGCTCCTGAGACATACCACCATAGCTTGTAGAGGCACTCTGCTGCAAAACAGGGGAATACGATCATGCAGAGGAGCTTCATTGAATTCTGCAATCGTAAAAACATAGAGATTAGAAGCTCAAAGTTTCAAGATTTTGCCTAAGGTTTTGTTTTGAATCAACTAATTATATATACCTGAAACAGTTGTTTATATCCATGGCGAACCTTCTCACTTGCGTCATATAATTTGTCAAGGAAGAGAAACCTCCTCAAACCATATTTGCGAGTCCAGCAGTAGAGGCTGATGAATGCGAGCACTGAGAATAAAGAAAGTGATAACTGAGAAACTACATGGTAAGGCCTGCTGTGATTCTCGTCGCAGTCGGAGCAGGAGAGGAGAAAGTGTGAGACAAGCGGCACGCCAATGGCTAAAACGAAGAAGATGGACCATGAAATACCAGTCCTCCATACATTGGACTGATCCACGAAAACCCATTTGAGGCATGCATCGAAGCTCTTCAATTCAAGTCCTTCGTGGCCTATGTAGCCTGAGATTGCTCTGTGTTTTGATAGAAATGATTGCCTTTCGTCTTCCATGGTTTTGTAAGCTTTGGTTTTTCTCAAGTTAGAATCAGAAAGCAGAGGAAAACATATAGCCAAGAGAAATGGAAGACCTGTCAACTATGTCTCTCTCTCTCTCTCTCGCTCTCTCTCTCTCTCTCTCTCTTTAAAAAAAACAAAAAAAAGCAGATCCAACAACGTTAGTCACTACTTTCATAATAAAATCCAACAACGATTTAAACTAAACAAATCGGATTTCTCTCTAAACCAACCTAATTTGTCAGTTCTACATTATTTTAATCTATGACATAATGGTCAGTTCTACTTGAATCAAGGTTCACAAGACACCTACTTAGCAACTTTCATAAAATAATGTGTTATAAAGTCTTATGAATTCATGATGCGCCACGTTACAATTTGAAGAATTTGGGCAACCAATTTTCCAACGTCTTAGAGTAGGTTTGGGCTTCTTCTGTACACGCGTAAAAGGGGTTGAGGTTGATTGAAAGCTACCAATGAGAGAGAGAGAGAGAGATACCCATGATCTGCAGTCAACCGGTCGACTGTGATTTTTATTTGTATGATGTTCTAGATTACTATAATGCATATGGTAATGAGATCGAACTTGTGTGTAAGGGTGCGACGAGGAAACGTTGTCTTGATCAATTAGCCTAACTTTATTAAATAAATAGAACATCTTTGTTATGGGCTTTTTATACAAAATCTGTAAAAGGCTGCTTCAAAATCTGGACTCGCCAAACCTGGAGAAGCCCAATGACCACACAAGTTGCAGAAAGTCAAAACCAGAGCCCACAGTCTAATAGCAACTGGTGAAAAGAGGAGCCACGAGAGCTAAAATGTGAACAACATATAAGACACAAAATAAAATAAAATTCTTGACTTTGTATATATTAACATAGTATCATCCAATCCTTATATACTTTTGATTTGTGTCGTGCAACTAACAAAGCACCAAGCAAAAACACAGATGGCATTGGCCGTCCCCCAAATTTATGCGCAACGCAAACCGCGCCAACGTTACTAGACTTGCAAGACGACACAAAATACTTGCAAAGAAAAATAAGAAAGATACCCCATTTGTGCCATTTTCCTCACACTCTTTGGCGGTTGACATTTTCCCTTGTACCAACTGACCGAAACCAATTCCAATTTGATTTCCATTTTCTGGCTTTTGAATTTTCGTTTCGGTCTCTGCAAAAACCGTCGGGAATGGCAGCGGCGACTTTGTCTTCCACGGTGTTTGCAATCTCAACCTCCTGCTCTTCATCGTCTCTCAAAGCAAGGAACTTCAAGAACTCAGCTAGCTCCTCGTTTTGTTCTCAGAATCGTCTTCCTTACAATCCCATTTCTGCTCGTCCATCAATTTCCAGGTATGTTTGTGTGCTACCACTTTATATGTTGAAAAAACAATCTTTAATGTTCCTATTTGTGAGAAAAATTAGAAACCTAGCATGGTTGGGTATGGGATCTAGCAAGTGGATTTATCATTTAAACTTTTGGGCCTTTTCAATGATTGGATAACAAGATTCATAATTGGTGTTGGAATTTGTATAGAGTTCGTGCAACTATTCTGCAAGAAGATGAAGAGAAAGTGATAGTGGAGGAATCCTTTGAATTCAAGGCTTCTTCTTCCTCAGATGAAGTGAAATCAAGCAGTGGGGGCCCATCAGAGAGTTCGTCTTCAAGTACTTTTGAGAGCTGGGTTATTAAATGTGAACAAACCATCAACATCTTCCTCACGGTAAATCTTAACTCTTATCGAATAATTGTTCTACAGTACTAACCGTAGCTCCCATGTCGAATTGTCAAAGAATTGTTATCAGGCTGTAACTTTGTTGATTCATTTTGTGCGCATAATGAATGTGCACAGTTGCAGTTTTTTATCTTCCTTGTTGACGGTTGGGCATGATGCTTGAATGAGCTTAATTCATTCAACGTTTTGAGATGTCCTCTTAGTTGATCTTTAATTCAGTTCTACAAATCATTCCAGGATACAGTCATAAAGATACTTGATACTCTGTACCGTGACCGAGATTATGCAAGGTTTTTTGTACTGGAAACCATTGCAAGGGTTCCTTACTTTGGTGAGTGCTACACTTTGTTTAGTAAAAAATTTCTGCAGTTCTGTAAGAGGGTATTTGTAAAGATATGTGAATAACTTCAAACAATAGGAATATAAGCCTTCAAATGCTTGAGGAGTAGTTACAAATACATTGCCAGTCGTTCATGCCCTCACATACATCACATTTGGCCCAATATCTTGTATTATAAATACGATTCATCTGAAATATGGAGTGCCTTTTGTATATCATCATTTCTTTGGATTTTGATCATGGAAAGGCATGCCCATTAGTTCCTCTTAATTTTCTCTGCAAATGTGCATTTTACCTGCTACTGCTAAGAATATGTTCTTGTGTAATCGTTTTCCTAATATGTTATTGTGATTCTCAGTTGTGATTTTTAATTTGTGTCTTTGTGTTATTTTGGGGCAGCCTTTATGTCTGTTTTGCACATGTATGAGAGTTTTGGTTGGTGGAGAAGAGCAGATTATCTGAAAGTGCATTTTGCTGAGAGCTGGAATGAGATGCACCACTTACTTATCATGGAAGTGAGTATCTTTATATTTTGCTCTATCTCGCCAATGATTCCTTACATTGTTGGAGATTCCACAATGAAAGAAATTTAGATAACTAGCATCAACAAAGTAAGCTTGCAGGAGGAGACTAGAGTGAATTTAGGAGAGAGAACAAAATAGAAAGAAGAAAACTTGTATGACATGTGGTGAAGGCTTTTTCAAATTATGATGTTCTGGCTCAAAGGCACTCATGTCAAAACTTTGTGTAGATTATGGTAGCTTCATATATTTACTTATGGCTTCCCTTCTGTGCACATAGAGGTCCACATGGTTTGCTTGATTTAATAATAGCATATGGTACAATTGCAGGAATTGGGGGGAAATGCTTGGTGGTTTGACCGCTTTCTTGCTCAGCATATTGCGATCTTCTATTATTTTATGACCGCCTTTATGTATACAATAAGCCCAAGAATGGCATGTAAGTATGAGTATCTGGTTTTTAATGTACTATAATTTCCTGGGTTTGTTGTTGCTCTTGCATCTAAGCATCCCTGTTGGTGCATTTGTCCTTGGTGGTTGCAAACTTACAAGAACTCTCCATCTAAACCAAAATTAAACCTTTTAGTACTAAGTATGCAGGCAAACTTGTTGAAATTTGTATCCCTTTTTAAATTTGATAATAATTGCATAGTTTCTAGGATATTTTCCACTCTATTTTCTGTTTAAGTTCTACAGAATGCTGAATTAGCCTGCATGCTTGCAGTAGTGTGTTTTTATGAATTTAGTTTGATTACTACTGCAGATCACTTCTCTGAATGTGTAGAGGGCCATGCATTTTCAACTTACGACAAGTTTATCAAGGCCAGAGGAGGTATGGTTTAGATCACTTCTCTATATGTTTGTGCTCATACAGGTGTTTGTTAGATCACATCAAATTTGCACTAACTTCTAAGCATGCAAAGGCCACGAGATGATCTCGTATCATCCGATCAGTTGTAAAGTGCACTGTCTTATGCTTACCTCAAATGCATATCACTTATTCTGACGTGGTCTTTTCTACTGTTGTAGAGGATTTGAAAAAGTTGCCTGCTCCTGAGGTTGCTGTAAAATACTACACTAGCGGTGACTTGTACTTATTTGGTAAGTTTTTCTGTTTTTCAATCTTTGTTTCTGTGTCCTGAAATGCTGTAATCCTAGATTTAACAATCCCCCCAAATTTCATCCAGATGAATTTCAAACTTCCAGACCTCCCAATTCTCGAAGGCCAAAAATAGGTAACTTTCATACTCTGATTTTATTCTGCCAGTTAGTAGATGAATATGCTAGGAGTTAGTTCAATTTTCAAATTTTGTTTTAGATTATGATCTCTCCTTTACGAAATAAACTTGTGTGGGATGGACAAATTTCGCTTCTCACATAGTATGGGTTGTGGGACCCATAGAATTTTGTGGGTCCCACCTACACCATTCCACAGGACTCAGATTTTTGGGCCAACTAACCTTGGTGTCTTGTAACACCAACTGAATGAGTTAAGAATAAGAGTAAGCATATTGTGATCTGTTTTTTTTTTCTCAGAGAATTTGTACGACGTGTTTCTGAACATAAGAGATGATGAAGCTGAACATTGTAAGACGATGAAGGCCTGCCAGACTCACGGGAACCTGTGGTCTCCTCATTCCCGTGCAGAAGAAGAAGATGACGCCCCGTGCGTCGTTCCTCAAACAGACTGTGAAGGTATTGTAGATTGTATAACAAAATCCGTGACAACAAAGCCAGAAAATTGATCATATAAGACACAAGAGGGGACGAGGAAATTAGGTAGAAGTAGTGAATGGTATAAGAAATTTGTTTGTATACACAAGAATGATATAGATCCAAAAGAAGCATTTGGTTATCCAATGAAGCTTGCCTTTCTAGTTTCCATTGGGGGAGAAGGCTTCAAGGCGTGGTTGTTTCACATTTTTCCATTTTTTGAACATGTTTTGTGGGACTATTAGCTTAGCTAGCATTAATATGTGGTGGCACCCCCCCTACCCTAGCATATCTTCTTTTTGGTCTACTCGTCGAGTCGTCGTGACTGAGTGACATTGACAATGCCTGCCCATACTGCTACCTTCTTGCGTTGTTCTAGTGTCGCAAACCGCCTGTATTTAAAAACCCTAGAAAATATCAACAACACTTATCAGTGAGTTTGTGGTCCACCGGCATTTATGCTAAGAAAAGAAGATGAACTCTCGTTTTAATTGCATTATGTTTATGTACCTGTCTTTATCATCTTATCTTTAATCAGCAACATAATTCACCCAGAAAAAGAAAGATATGAATAAACCAGATACCCAGCCTCACAAATAAAAAAAGAACTATTTTCCCAAAATTGAAAAAAAAAAAAAAAGTACAAAGAAATAAAAAGCAAAGTGAATTTAGAATTACATCTTGTTATAAGCCATCTCATATGTGATGTGATGTGATGTTATCATACTCATAGTTACCTTACCTCTCGCGGAATTAGTCGGACCATGTAGCGGATTGTTGATATGTAGTCGATAATGTATCAATACTATTATTGCCAACAAAAACAAAACATATACATTATCGCCGACAAAATGTACATGCACAAAGAATTCTCTGCTTTGGGGATACGTCTAAAATCTCTCAAACGTGTCCTAACATAAAATCTGTCAATGTGTGTTAAACATGAAGGCAAGCTAAATTATTATCTTCTTTGTTCCATTTTCCATTTTCCTTTTTGTTTTGTTTGGTGCACGAATCATCCGTTTTCCTGTTTTTATTAATAACCGGCTGTTGCAGCTGCGCCAGCTTTGGTACGTCGTGTTCAATACTCGTCGTCCCACCCAATTTTGAAAAGAAAAGGAAAAACACATAAATCACACGCCTAACGTTACGTGGGCCGCTATTGCCCTCACAACAAAGTCTTCAAATCAATGCTCTCGAAGTCACTACACAATACACACACAGAGACTGGAAGACTAAAGTAGAAAAGACACAGCCTTCTTTTCTTTTCCTTTCCTTTATTTTATAATTTCCTCTCTTCCTTTGGTTACTTTTCTAATTTCTCTCTCCTTCTCTCGCTCACCACAAATTCACAAATTCACAAATTCCAGTTATATTTGAAATGGAAGACAGCTCAATGGGCGGTGCGCTAGTCCCCACCGTGAAAGCATGTGAACACTTACCAGGCTCCGCCACCGAAACGGCGTCGGAGGAGCCGGACAAGGACATTATGTGCCCGATATGCATGCAGATCATCAAAGACGCCTTCCTCACTGCTTGTGGCCACAGTTTCTGCTACATCTGCATTCTCACTCACCTCCGCATCAAGAGTGATTGCCCTTGCTGCGCTCATTCTCTCACCACAGACCTCATTTTCCCCAATTTCTTGCTCGACAAGGTTCCTTCTTTTCTCTCTTCGCCTTTCCATTTCGATGTGTTTGGTTGACATTGTCAAGAAAGAAAGTAACATCATATTGGAATTTTCAGTTGCTGAAAAATGCTTTGGCTTCTCAAATGGCGAAGACTGCATCTCCATTTGAACAACTTCGTCGGGGACTGCACCAGGTCAGTAGCCATTTTTGTCATAATTAAATCAAAACTTGTTTATTTTCTTCTTCATTCCCATGATTTTGATTAGTTAATAATTTGATCGTATTTACTTGTACGACTTGTAATTCGCAATCTTAGACAGGGTTGCGAGATGTCGATTAAAGAGCTGGACGGCCTGTTGTCTCTCCTTGAAGAGAAGAAGAGAAAAATGGAGCAACAAGAATCTGAGACGAGCATGGAGATCATGCTTGGCTTCTTACATTGCCTGAAAAAGCAAAAGTTCCAAGAGCTCAGTGAGGTCCAAATTAATACATATGTATAAACTTTATGATAGGAGTTCAATTTTCTTCTTCGCATTCTTTTGTTTTGGCTCTTTACTTTGATTATGATGCTCTGTTTTCCTCTGCAGATAGAGGCCGATCTTCAGTACATCAAGGAGGACATAACTGCGGTTGAGAGACGGAGACTAGAGCTGTGCAGCTGGGAACAGGAGAGCTCAATAAAGCTGAAAATGCTTGCTCCTGGTGATCAGCAGCAGCACAGCAATGGCATTGTCTGTAGCACGCAACACGTGCAAGCTCCGATGAGTTGCAACGATTTACTGAACAAAAGATCTGATGTAAAGGCTCAAGCAATTTTCAAGGCACTCCAACTAAATAATGATTGTGGCAGCAGCTCTGATATGCAGTGTATGACAACACCAGGTGTAGCATCACTAGCAAGAAAAAGGAGAGTCCATTCACAGGTTAGTGATCCTGCAAATTGATCTGAGGAGACTACCAACAAAACTTCCTAGATTCTGAACGATTGGACTTCTATTTTTCCTTGCAACAGTTCAATCACCTACAAGAGTGCTACTTGCAAAAGCGACGAAATTGGTACAGACAGGAAGAAAGGGGCGCAAACACTATGAATATAGAAGGTTATAATCCAGGCCTTGAAGATTTTCAATCTGTGCTTACAAGCTTTACACAATACAGGTACAAACTTCTCAAGTATCAATTTCAAGTTTCTACTAGGAAATCCTATCCTGTTATAGTTACTAATGCAATTTTTGGTTGCTTGAAACAGTCGAATGAGGGTCATTGCTGAACTGAGGCATGGTGATCTTTTTCACTCTGCCAATGTTGTGTCCAGGTGATTTAAAATGTCATCCCTCATGCACTTTTTTCAGTAGAAATTGAAAATGGTTCTCATTTCATACAATTTTGTTAGCCCTTTCATCAGCGATTTGCTACCCACCATCATTGGTTATACTCCTGTATCTACTAAATTTAGGCAAATTAAAATCATGGTCCATTGCTTAGTTAGGTCATTTGGTTACTGCAACATGTTAACTGTGTTTGAAAATTTATCTTTAGCTGATCTTGGTAACATATCGTGATATTTGGGGTTCGCATTACATTTGTTGCAGTATAGAATTTGATCGTGATGATGAACTGTTTGCTACTGCTGGAGTTTCACGGTGCATAAAAGTTTTTGAATTTTCCTCGGTAAGCATTGGACAGACGCTTTAGTACCTGTATAATGTCTGTTACTTTTAGTCTTTTATTAAGCAGGAATAATGTTCCAGGGCCGAAGTTGAGCAATGACTCCATATATTGCTTCCAAGTGCTACTGGTGCAGCTTTATACTTCTTCAGTGCACTAACCTAATTGATATCTAAAAGTTGTATGTTGTGGTTTAATATGAAAGGGATGCCATCTTTGATATTTATATTACTTTTTGCCAATAGTTGTTTTTCTGCATAAGACAATGCTTTCGCATATATACCTGTCACCTTTGGGTTGTGTCTGAATTTTCTGAAACTTAATGCACCTCGGTCTCATGGATATATTTTTTTCTTTATTTGTTCATTGTTAATAAGTTCTATTGTGATTACTTCCAGGTGGTTAATGAACCAGCAGATATCCACTGTCCTATGGTAGAGATATCCACACGATCCAAACTTAGTTGCTTGAGCTGGAATAAGTACACTAAAACCCATATTGCCAGTAGCGACTATGAGGGGATAGTAACTGTTTGGGATGTAACTACTCGTCAGGTAGCGAAACCTTTTCTTTTCATTAAAATAGTGCCAATCTGCACACCTATGCTGTCATAATTTTGTCACTGCCTCAACCACATTTGTTCACATCCAGTTATTTAACCAGACTCTTTTCTTACCAGAGTGTGATGGAATATGAGGAGCATGAAAAGCGGGCTTGGAGTGTTGATTTTTCGTCTATTGATCCTTCAATGCTCGTGTCCGGAAGTGATGACTGCAAGGTAATTGGACATGAATTTTAGCTCATATCTTAGGGGTTTGTGAGCTGTATCTTGATAAGTGACCTAAAAAGTAACTATTTGTAGTTATAGGCTTGGTGTATTTGAAGTAGGATCAAGAAGTTTGGCTAGCGATGTATAAATAGAAAGTAAGAAACCTTCATGGAAGGCCTATGCATAGGGTCGCTGTAAAAAATGAACGGTGAAGATCTTTAGCTTATTATTTTGTAAGGAAGGATTTCATTTTCAATAGAAATTCATAATGGGATTATGTTTCTACTTTCCAGAAGCTAAAGTAATTCATATTTTCTGGAAAATCTGCCCACCCTGCGACATTTTGATGCTCCTGCCAACCCTATATGAAATTCTCATGTAGGAAAAAAAAATTGCTGGTCGAATTGTTTTCCAACTTCTAAAAAATGATACACTTGCTAGGGATGTATTAGATGGTCTTATGTTTATAAGTGCTCTCAGCATGCATTTTTTTTGCTAAACAGGTCAAAATTTGGTGCTCAAAGCAAGAAGAAAGTGTTCTTAACATCGACATGAAGGCAAATATTTGTTCTGTCAAGTATAATCCTGGATCCAGCTTTTTTGTGGCAGTATGTCGCTGTTCTTAAGATTAAATTAAGAACTTAGTTGCTTATTTCTCCTATCTAGAAGAATGCAAAATTTTTATATACTCTGAAAGTTCACCGTTGATTCCTTTTCTTTCATCCCAATTAGTGATTAAACAAAACTAGTATATGTATAGCCTTTCCCTGAGCCCAATCTGATTGAAAACATATCATTTAATCAAATTAGGACACAGAGCTTGGTATAATCCACTTAGTAATTTTGCAGGTTGGCTCTGCAGATCATCACATTCATTATTATGACTTGAGAAATATCAGCCAACCACTGCATGTCTTTAGTGGGCATAGGAAAGCTGTTTCATATGTGAAATTCTTGTCTAACAATGAACTTGCTTCTGCATCCACTGACAGCACATTGCGATTGTGGGATGTAAAGGAAAACTTGCCTGTGAGTCATCTTGCTTATGGCACTTTTGATTTCTAATTTCCAAACAGAGTTTGAGCTAATTCTTTGTTTTCACCATTGACAGTTGTGCACGTATAGAGGCCACATGAATGAGAAGAATTTTGTGGGTCTTGCGGTAAATAACGAATATATTGCTTGCGGCAGCGAGACAAATGAAGTGTTCGTTTACCATAAGGTTAAGTTGACAAACAAGAAAATGATGTGGTAGCTAAGTTGACATGCCAAAATTGAACCCCCACCAAAATTACAATGTTTACATTGTATATAGGTACTTGGCACCAACAGTAGTTGATTCAGTTTTGGTGTCTACTTGCAGGCAATCTCAAAACCTATGGCTTGGCATAGATTTGGCTCTTCGGATTTAGGCGAGAATGACGACAACACAGGATCATACTTTATTAGTGCTGTATGTTGGAAGAGGGATAGCCCAGTGCTATTGACTGCAAACAGTCAAGGAACAATTAAAGTGCTTCTACTTGCAGCATGATATCGGTAATCAAGTAAAAATTTCTTTTAAGGTATCGCCAACGCAAAGATATACATAAATTTTATCGATGCTAAACAAAGATGTGTGCCTTTGTATTGAATTCAAACCTGGTATTTTGTTTCATATGTTGCAATAGTTGAGTTAAAACGTATGAAAGTTTTAATGATGGTTCTCTTCTTTCCTTTGAACGTACGAAAGAAAAAGGAAGCAGCAATGAAAATAGCCAAATGCAACACCCTTCTGATTCTGAAAAAGCAAAACGGTTCATCATAAAGTTTTGCTACCGCCAAAGAAATAAAATATGCCAATCAATATTGTAACAACTGAAATAATTTGGACATAAAATAAAATTATAAAAGTAAATTAGCCAGTCATAAAGGAAATTCATTAAATAAAAAGCTTCTTTGTAACGGGGATTTCTTTAGAAAAAGGCAAAGAAAGATATCTTCATCCATCTTTTGGAATCAAACTTGGCTTCTTATTATTTATTTATTTTGGTCAACTTGGCTTCTGTTTCAAATTAAAAAAAGGATCGCATGGGTCTATGAAATTTGAAACAAACAATTAATGTGAATGCAAATTTGTTAAGTACCAAGCCCAGCCCAACCCAACCCCAAGTCAGCAGTCTATTTCGTCCCCATAGGCTAGCCACCACTGCGCATCTTATACAAGATCCTCTCTCTCTCTCTCCTACAATCCTATTATTCCCTTTTCGCTCCTTCTATATATAAATAGCAGCACTGATATATAAATAATAGAGATCCTCCTCCTCCCTATAGATTCCCAGAATCGCACTCTCTCTCTCTGACATACCAGAAACGAACCCAGAAAATAAAAAAAATAAAAAGGAAAGAAACTTTCTTTCTGCTTCCTTATTTTTTTGGCGCGAAAAAAAAGGAAGCAGCAATGAAAATAGCCAATGGGGATCGGGAGGTGTGCGTGGCCTCGCCTGCGGCGAAGGCTCCGTCGGTCGGAGATGAGAAAGAGAGGGAGGCAGACGCATTCGTGCCACCTCTAAACTTTGCGATGGTCGACAATGGCGTGTTTAGGTCCGGTTTCCCTCATTCTGGCAATTTCAGCTTTTTGAAATCCCTAGGCCTACGTTCCGTTATGTAAGTCAAATCCAGCAATGTTTTTTTAAATTTAATTTATTCCTATTTTCTTCTTTTTCTGGGCACTTCAAATTTGACTTCAGTTTATCAAAGTTGGGTAATTTCGACTAATTCTTTGGTTTGGGTTCGTGCGTTTGCGTTAGATACTTGTGCCCGGAGCCGTATCCGGAGGAGAACAAAGAGTTTTTGAAAGCAAATGGGATTAGGCTTTTCCAGTTTGGGATGGATGGCTCTCAGGTTTCCTCTCCTTTTTGCCTTATTTTGCAATAAGATGATACTGATGCAAACTTTGTCATCTCTATATTATAATTCCTGCTATAACCGTGTGTGTTTATCAATTTGGGTGCTCTTCTGTAGAAAAATGATTATGCAGAAGATTTGAACCTCTGGGACAAAAGCTTGAATTTATTAGAAATCACATGAGGGCTTGGGGAAAAGAAAAAGACTATTGGATTGATGATTTCAGATAAAATTTGTTTTTGGAGTGAAAAAGTTTCTGGTTTGAGTTCATAGGTTTTTGAAATAATTAACGTCCGCCACCGCTTGTTGAGAAAAAGAGACATGGAAAATTGCGTGTCAAAATCACTTCACTTCATCAGCTTAAGTGCAAGAGTGATGAATTTTTGGGCAAGAGATGCATCACTATGAGCCAATGGCCTTGCTGTATCCCACTCCCAATTTGCTGGTGCAAGCCCCGTGTCCATTGTCTTTTTTCCCACTACAATTCCCCTTTCTGCTTTGCATGAAATCTTTAATTGAATGGAACAGCAAGATTAATATATTGACAATCCTAATAAGCAGTTGGATTTTATATTTACTTGTTACTGACGTATGTTCCATGTTTGAAAACAGCCGTGCACCTCTAACCTTGGGTTGTTTTTGCTTGCCTTGTGCTTTAACGGTTTTCCTTAACTCTTTCAGTTAACTAGAAATGGTTTTGTCAGCTGGCAATAAGTGTTGCCTTTTGTTCTCTACTCTGGTTTTGTCTGCACTACCGATGATCTCACTTTGATCCTTGTACTAACCCCTACGTATTCGAAGATTCTTTTGGCTGTTGTTTCTCTGTTTTCGGTGACTTAAATGTTATTCAATCTTTTGAAATGAACTTGTTGACTGATGATATATTCTGAGCTCGCTAGGGACTTTTCTTCTTTGAGCTAGTTATAATTGCTTTCAGTTGATGTTTTCACTCATGTGGCTTGCAATTGCAACATATTTGCAAATGGATGCTGGACGACAGGAACATTATGTGAAAATTCCGGAGCACGCAATTCGTGAAGCATTACAAGTAGTCCTTGGTATATCATAACACCTTCAACATAAAGTTTTTTTCTTTCTTTCTTTTTTGTGCTTAAGATTACACCACAGCTTAGGATTTGTTTGTTTAACAATTTGGTTATCGACTTGGATGCCTGTGTCTGCAAGATGTAAGGAATCACCCGCTCCTGATTCATTGCAAACGAGGGAAGGTACTCTATTCTTTTTAACTTATTTGCATTCTCTCATCCAAAATGTTGGGTTCCATCTTCCAACAATACGATTGTTTTCCTTTTTGATTTTGTGCAGCACCGGACAGGCTGCCTTGTTGGATGCTTAAGAAGATTGCAAAAATGGTGCCTGACTTCAATCTTCGACGAGTACCAGAGGTTTGCAGCTGCAAAAGCTAGAGTTTCAGATCAAAGGTTCATCGAATTGTTTGATATTTCTACCTTCAAACACTTGCCAACGTCATTTTCGTGTTCAAAAAGGGTAGTGTAGAGTCATTCGCTCCCTGGATAATGACCTTTCAGTCCTTTTAGTATGTGAAGATGATTATTCATGATTGAATTTGATCTGTCGCTAAGTCCAGAAGAATGTGCAATACTCAAAATGCGTGTTCATTTTCATGCAAATCTGTACCTCACAGTACACAATAGGCGTTTATTCCAACTTACTTTAAACTTTTTATGATTCATGAATTTGATCTGTCGCTAAATCCCCAGTCGAAAATTAGACGGTTTATTAATGTTTTGGAAGCATGAAAACCAACTGCAGTGCAAAAGTTTGAAAATTAGCTAGGCGGTAGGCTAAAAGAAAAAAGAAAAGAACCCGACCGCCTAGGACCGCCTAGCCCGCCTAGGAACGCCTATAAGTTTGAAAATTAGCTAGGCGGTAGGCTAAAAGAAAAAAGATAAGAACCCGACCGCCTATGGCCGCCTGGAACGCCTAGGACCGCCTATAAGTTTGAAAATTAGCTAGGCGGTAGGCTAAAAGAAAATAGAAAAGAACCCGACCGCCTAGGACCGCCTAGGACCGCCTAGGGCCGCGAGGACCGATTTATCGAACACTCTCAGATTGTCATAAATTCTTGAAAAGAAAAATCAAAACTAAAATGAAATTGAAAAGAATGTGGACGAGAAACAATCGAATCGCCAATCCAAACAATGACGACCGAAACGATGGCTCGGCCTTTTCACTCTACCTCGCTATTCTTCTCAATCCAAGAGACACACAAACTGTCCCTCGTTATGTAAAAGAAGCGAGGCATATATTAATTCAAACAAAGAAATAAAAAAGAATAGCACAAAACAGAGACTAGCAAACTACAGATCTACAGAGAGGGGCTGAAGAACTCAATTCTTCCAAAGCTGCTGCGTCGTGGGAATTTATATAGAGTCGCCAACCCTAGCCTAGCCCCTTTCGAAATTACCACACAACCCTTATCTTACCATACGTGGATCACAATTGGGCCTGTAATTTGCATTTAGTCCCAATCTCGCACCAACGGGCCCAATCTGCTCAACGATTTATCAGAAAGATGCAGGGATATCTGGATCCCAGTGGCCCCGGTTACCTGATTTGATGAATGTCCAATATAGAAGAGTCAAATCCGTTAGAGTCAACGATTCTACCAACATTAACAAGGATCGACGGTGGAAGATGATCTCATGAGTAGGGCCCACCGTAGATTATTAAACCCCGATGGAATTCATCCAACTAGTTTAGGGTTTGAAGCCACAGTGTGCTTCCAGCTATTTAGGGTTTTTATCCTCCCCACCTGATTTGCTGAGCGCCTGAACATTTCTAGGATCGGAATTCATCCAATCCACCTCGGCTCTTGAGGCTCCAAAAGCCCATCCTTCCGAATCAAAGCCTTTGCTTAAAAGATTCATGCCTTTTGAGTTTCGTCATTGGTAAGTGCCTCGCTTCTCTTTCCTTTTTCGTTAAATTATCAGGTAAAACAGTGCAAGCTCTCTGCTTTAATTCTCCTTTACCTTAATTTTCAATTAGATAGATACGAGCTTTTGTATATACAAGCGTGGGTGAGTTTGTGAGCAAGTGAGAGAGAGGGAGAGTATTAAATGGGGAAATCAGGGGGCAGAAAGAAGAAGGGAGCTTCAAACCAAGTTTCTAGTGATGGAAATTCATCTCCAATGGCTAATGGTGGTGTTGATTTGGACTCTTCAGTCTTTTTGAAAAGAGCACAAGAGCTCAAAGAAGAAGGGAACAAGAGATTTCAGAGTAAGGACTATGTGGGTGCTCTTGAGCAGTATGATAATGCTCTTAAGCTCACTCCTAAGATTCACCCAGACAGGGCGGTTTTTCATAGCAATAGAGCCGCTTGTTTGATGCAAATGAAGCCTATAGATTATGAAACTGTGGTTGCTGAATGCACCATGGCGCTTCAGGTTCAGCCCCGGTATGTCCGGGCTCTCCTTCGGAGGGCTCGTGCATTTGAGGCGATAGGGAAGTATGAAATGGCAATGCAGGATGTTCAGGTGTTATTGGGAGCTGACCCAAATCACCGGGATGCTTTGGAGATTGCCCAGCGGTTGCGGACAGCACTTGGGCCTCGTCAGGAGGCTCAGCAGGACCTCCATAGCCGCCCGTCCCCTGCTGCCCTTGGGGCTTCCGCAGTTCGCGGTGCTCCAATTGCTGGGCTGGGGCCTTGTTTACCAGCCCGGCCAGCAGCAAAGAAGGCAGCTGCTTCAGCTGGGGGTTCTGGTTTATCCCAAATTAACAGGCCAGAGAAGCCACAAACAGTTCTACCGGCTGAGAATGGACCTGAGCCCAAAACCCAGATGCCAAAACTTGTATTGAAGCCCACAAATGCTTCTTCAAAATCTCCTAATCCAAGTAAGGCTAACCAGAAGGAGCCATCATCAGTTTCATTGTCCATTCATGGGCAGCGTTCTGAGGCTGCAAATCGATGGAGACCGTTGAAGCTTGTTTATGATCACGACATAAGGCTTTCACAAATGCCTGTTAATTGCACTTTCAGAGTGTTAAGGGAAGCTGTAACGAAACGCTTTCCATCATCAAAGTCAGTTTTGATCAAGTATAAGGATAATGATGGTGATTTGGTGACTATAACCTCTACAGCTGAACTTAGGTTGGCTGAGTCTTGTGCAGACAGGGTCATTCCAGAATACCCTGAAATAGATAAAGCTGACTCGATTGGAATGTTGAGATTGCATATTGTGGACGTGACTCCTGAGCAGGAACCACCTTTGTTGGAAGAAGAGGAGGAAAAAGCTGCCGAAAACGAGGGGATCAAGGAAGATGAAAGCAATTCTAATTCATCACTTAGTGAATCTGTTTTGGAAGCTGGTGATTATGAAACTGACAAGGTGGAGAAAGAAGCTCAAAAGGAGAAACCAGGAGCCTCAGAAGATCCTGAGTGCAAGGAATTGGAAATGGATGATTGGTTGTTTGAGTTTTCTCAGCTTTTCCGCAGCCATGTCGGTATTGATCCAGATGCTCACATTGATTTGCATGAGCTTGGAATGGAGCTTTGTTCTGAGGCCCTTGAAGAGGCAGTAACTAGTGAAGAAGCTCAGGGTCTTTTTGACAAGGCTGCCTCAAAGTTCCAGGAGGTGGCTGCATTGGCTTTCTTTAATTGGGGAAATGTTTATATGTGTGCGGCAAGGAAAAGGATTCCCTTAGATGAGTCTGCTGGAAAGGAGGTAGTGGAATCACAGCTTCAAACGGCTTATGACTGGGTCAAGGAAAAGTATTCCTTGGCCAGAGAGAAATATGAGGAGGCACTGTCGATCAAGCCAGACTTTTATGAGGGGCTGCTGGCCCTGGGGCAGCAGCAATTTGAAATGGCCAAACTTCATTGGTCATTTGCACTTGCTAAGAAAATAGATCTCTCAAGTTGTGATTCCACAGAAATGCTGAACCTTTTTGACAGTGCAGAGGAGAAGATGAAAGTTGCCACTGAGATGTGGGAGAAGCTGGAGGAGCAGAGAGCAAAGGAACTAAAGGATCCAAGTGCAAGCAAGAGAGAAGAATTGTTGAAAAAAAGGAAAAAACAAGGAAGCGGTAATGAAGGAGAGTCCTCTGGAGCATCTGGTCAGGGTGAGATTTCGGCAGATGAAGCAGCAGAACAGGCAGCTGTTATGAGATCACAGATCCATCTTTTCTGGGGTAACATGCTTTTTGAGCGATCTCAGGTTGAATGCAAATTGGGGTTGGATGGTTGGAAGAAAAACCTGGATGCTGCTGTCGAGCGCTTTAAGCTTGCTGGAGCTTCTGAGGCTGACATTTCATTGGTTTTGAAGAACCATTTCTCCAATGGCGATGGAGTTGAGGGAGATGGGAAAAAGGTTCAGAATTTAGGCAGTGACGTACCTGTTGAAGCCAATAAAGACAATGAGATTCTTTCAGGGAAGTGAGATAATTTATTTTAATGGTGGCTTCCGTGAATAATCTTCAATTTGTGCTTGTTAATCATGAGAATAAACTGGAGAGAGGAAGTGCTTTAGTTTTCTGTACTGAATGGAGGAATGCTGGAATTCTTTTTGTTCAGTTCTGAAAGATTGGGTGCCAGAATATGCAGCTGTGTACTCAACAAGATTTTGGGCAATGTTCTTATGGTAAAGATTACATGTTGTAAACATTTTTTTTCGCAAGGCTGATGAGTTTTAAGTGTCAACTTTATGTGCGTAGGGTCTTAGTTTTAGCTTGCCGCTCCACTTCAGTGCAGTGTGGTTTATAAATGCTAATCTTTATTTTTACGATGCATCTTATTTGAGCTGATTCTTAAATTTATTACAAATCACCAGAAACCAAATGGATACAAGCTCTTCAAATTTATTCCCCTCATATTGTTAATTCTTAAATTCTTGTTAGTGTCAGTTTTAGGTGTGATTTCATTTCAGTAGAAAAATGAAGAGATTTTCATGACTTTTCTCCCTTTGGTTGCCAATGCCAATGAGGATGAAATCGATTTTTACTTAAATATTGAACATGATGGGAAGATGCCATTATTCTTAGTGATGGCAAATCAAAATTTGAGGGCTCTGACTGAGCCATACCAAATGGATGGAGTGCTTGAATATATTATCTTGGAGGCTACAAATTACAATAGATAGAATGAGAATCAGCTAATATATTTTTTGCATCTCCCAACAATTCCATTCAATATTCAATATAATGAGGATTAATTAACAATCAAACATGGGTCCCCGAAGTTTTTGGCATCTAATCATTTGTATTTATATATTGTTTTCAATTACAGAAACAGTTATGCAGATTAGATATGGTTGGTCACTTTCTATAACAGTATACTTCATCCACATCATAAACACTAAACACATTCACACCATGGGATGGGAACTGCTACTCCCAACTCCCAAGCTAAGCTTATAACTATGAATTCCACCAGATCAGGAGGGAATAAAACACACAAAAATTAAAATAAAACCCAAACTTCTCCTCCCAACAGCTTTATTTAGAACACCAACTACTACTAGCACACAAAACCACACAAACCCAATTTTAATTATTTTATTGTCATCCATCGGACAGCTCAGACAGTTGCAACAGGGTCCAAATTAACGGTGGATTCCATGGACTTCATGGCTTCAAATCTTGGTTCCTTGGCTTGGAATTTGAGGCCAGAATAGAGCTTCATATAATCATCAAACACAAATTTGGGGTAGGCTGAGATTTTCTCAGTTTCTTTTTCCAGCAATGCTGGTGCTGGGTAGATAAAAGCATCATCACCTGGGTTGTAGAATGAGGCTATGGACATTCTGGTTCCATCAGGCTGCGCTATCACACGGTGCATCACACTCTTGTATTTCCCATTAGTGATCACCTATATTAATAATTCAAATTACATTTTAATTAGTAAATTTGAGATTTAAAATAACCATTTTAATGGGAAGAAAAAAAAAGGTCATAATTTGAAACCGGGTTATGGTATTTTTACCTCAAGTTGGTCACCTAAGTTGATGACAATGGAGTGGTGCATTGGAGGAACATCAATCCATTGACCATCCTTGAGGAGCTGGAGGCCGCTGACCTTGTCATCCTGGAAGAGTAGGATGATGCCACCTGCATCGGTGTGAGCCCGGAGGCCCTTGATCAGGTCTGGTTTGGGGCAAGGAGGGTAGTTGCTGACCTTTGTCCCAAAGTTTGGTCCCTTTGATCCATAGAAAGCCTTCTTCAGATAACCCTTCTCCAACCCAAGATTCTCACACAGCAAGTCCAGAAGTTGCTCAGCTAGTTTCTCTAATTCCACTGCAAATTCTTTCATGACCTTCCTGTAATCTTCATCAAGGTCAGGGATTTGGGATATGTTTGAGACAGGAAGGTGGCGCAAGAAGAAGGTGCTTTCCCAGTCCAAGTCATGGATTTCAGACTGGACAGCTTCGAGGCCTTTGCTTGCGACCATTTCCTTAAACCTTTGCTCCATGCACTTTTTGTAGTGCTCCTTTGTCAGCTTCTCCACAGTATCCATCAGCTCATGAGATATCCCATGGTTCACCAACTTCATTAATTAATTTGTACATTAAAACAAAAACAAAAAGAGACTTATTATTAGAAACACATATGATCGTGATATAGAACGAAAAAACATAATTTGTAATTAACTAGCTGGCTTCTCATCAAAGCTTAAAAAGAAATAAAAAGATCTCAAAGCAGCTTAATTGTTGGTTTACCTCAAAGAAACCCCAATTCTCACAAGCATCATTTATCTTCTCCATGGTATCTTCTCTCTCTTCACCATTAATTTGGCTCAAGTCAACAACTGGGAAAGCCTCCATTTCTCTCCTTAGTTACTCTCTCTCTCTCTCTCTATCTCTCTCTCACACACACAAACTTAATCCTCTCAATGTATAGTAAGCGAGTCTATGTGGCTAGCTCTATTTGGTGAGTGGAGTACTTGGTTTATGGTGCAATTTATAGGCGCTAAGGGAGTGGCAGATCTGTGAATAACTAGGATTTCTTAGTTAAAAATGTACTATAATGGAATGTTGGCATATTTTTGTATGTAATACGTAGACATATATAACCTGACTGAGAAGAGAGGGAGAGAAGTTTGAAACGAAATTGTTCACGTAAGAAAAGAATACCCTGACTGACCCTGAAGATTAAGAAGAAGAATTTATATAAGTATCAACGCATTACGCATGGTATTGAAAACATGAAAATCTAGTTACAATATTAAAAATATATAGAAAATATACAGAAAATGAAATGAAATAAAATAGAATAAAAAGGAACAGGACTCGTGGATTATGTAAGAAAGCACGTCCATGGTGGATGGACCCCTACTAACTTTTGTCTCGAAGCTGTGGCCATGATCTATGCTATATATTATGCCTTGTTCCTTGTTTGTTGGTTGGTTGGTTGGTTGGTTGGATCATCTATCTATCTTTCCTCTTTTTTGTCTTTTACATGTTTTTTTAGTTTTCTGTTTATTTATTTCTTCCAGTCTTAATCAAACCAAACCATGCATGCGAATAGAAAAAACCTAATTAATTTATCAATTATCCCAATTAAACACTAATATAATTGTATTTGTATCTCAATTATCTCAATTATCCCAATCAAAAGATAAAGCCTGAAATAAGGGAAGTGCATGAGTGACCCCAACTCCTTTACTTGAAATGAATGCCTTATTCATTTGCCATGTTTTGTTTCACTTTTTCTTAATAATGACAATTATCGTAAGCAGTAAAAACAAAAGTAAGGCATGCCACAAAAGGTAACATTCATCATTCATGTTAACAAAGCAGTAAGCTTATTACCAAAAAAGTTAACAAGTTGCGGGCAAGTTAGCGCGTTAATTAATATAATTAACAAGCTTTATTAATGATTTTAGAGGGCTCTTCTTATGTTTAATGAAAGATATTGATAAACTTAACAACTTAGGGAATTGGACTGCTGGTTTAATATTTTTCATTTTTCCATGTTAATTACCACCAAACAACGGGCTTTTTAGATTCAATCAAAGAGAAAGCTATGGGCCTTTTGATTTGATGAGTTGACAAAACTTGGACCTGACCAACTTTCAGCATCTTGACTTCTGACCAAAGAAACTAATTAAAGAAATCTCTACTCTCAACTTTCGGTCTTTCGGTCACATGCCGATGTCGCTTAGTCAAATTCTATATCTGCCTATTCACTCTTTTGTTGGATTTAACCCCATCTAGTAAATTTGTCGCTGCCATTAACGACTGTAAGTTGGAAGAAGAAGAAAAATATAGCATTTAAATTCCCAGTTTGAGTTTTATGGTCCTACAAGTACAACTTCGTGAAGATGAACTTTGATTATAAATTTGACTGATTCGTAGCTTGTTAAAGAAAATGAAATCATCTGTTCTGAAAGTTTGGATCTAATCCGTTTTAGTCGTTTAGTTCGAATATATACTTATGCTAAATTCACACAAGCTAGATTACGGCTACGGCTACGTATAAAAGTTTACTGTCAAAAAGAAGGTATTTGGGCTAAGAATATCCCATGTATGCATTTTCGATAAGGGAGAGCAAACCAAAAGCATATAAAACTGGAACATGATCTATCATGTGTCCCTCTTACTCGATCGCTTTGTTGGTTTTTGGATCAAGTTCCAAATTCCATGTATTTTCTATTGGTGGGTTTTCCGCATTGTTTTATAATCTTCAAATAATGCAATTAATTCCTTTGGCTTGTTAAATCTACGATATATAGTCATGCATGCATCACTACTCGACAATTGAGAGTATGAATGGAAAATTAAAGTCTTCATCATCTTAAACCCAAAGAGCATAAGCGCTTTCTTTTCTTTTTCCATCATTTTTTCTGAGCCAACAGCCATTGCTGCTGCCAGAGAGAGAGAGAGAGAGAGAGAGAGGTAATGGCCCAATAGCTTAGATTTCATGAATTTGAAAGTGAAATCTCTTACAGTAGTGTAGTACTTTAAGGTCAAAAGAGAAGAGAATATAACTCATAAGAGAGGACATTGCCAAGAAGAAGCACTATAGTTTTGAGAATAATTACTTGATTAGAATAATTGGATCGGATCGATTAGACGAATAGGATTCCTCACCTTTCAGATGGAAAATGATTTTGGTATTTTGCACTCAGCAAGTTGCTTAAAAAAACAAGAATTGACATTTATTATGCGAACATCATATCCCTGGCAGTGGCTGGTTGTTCTAAACCTAAGATTGAACAAGATTACGTACCATGATCTCCCATCAACTCTTTAATTAATTACGTAATTGGGTTGTGTAGATTCGAATATAATTTGTACTTAGTGTTGATTAGCCAGACTAGTAAACTATTTTAACCACTAATCCTGATCGAGACAAGGCCACTAAAAGTAGATTTATTCTTTCCATATGAAATGAAAGGAGAGAAAAGCTGCCTAAATGGCGAATGAAATGGAATTAACCCTTCCTCCCCCTCCCCCTCTATAGCCTTAGCCTAGCCCTGCACTGCACTCAACAAATTATCTCTCAGGTCAAGCATCATGTTATTATTTTGGATCCTGTGTATATTTGTTTATATGGACCCCACGTGTTGAATCAAATGTCAATCAACGGTCTATGATTGTTAGTCTTGGATCTTTGATGTGAGTTTTCTATTCTATATATCGAGATCAATCATATAAATATGAATGAAATGATCTAAAGTGGACCCTCAGTGGGATGTTTTTCTTCCTTGATCGTGCAGTTGAGCAGTTTGGTAGTAGCTATATAGCTCCTTCTTTCGGTCATGTGATTGAGTTGAGTTGAGAATTGGATAAGTCATAGAGGGGGTCCATCCAGATCCAGCATGCATGTGTATGGGCGACTAGATTTCATGATATCAAAGCTTGTGATTTAATAGCCTCTACATCATCTACAACTTCCCCTTCTTGTAACATGTGACCTGTTTTGTGAGTCTTGTGCGTCTGCCACTGGATTGAAGAATCTTTAGTGTACGTAGTGGGAAACAGGAGCGTCCATCCATGGATATATATATAATGATAATGTGCAACAAGCAGGCAATCTTTAACTCTATATATATGGGCAACACTAGAAGGTAAATACTAAATAGTCAATATTATTTATATTATAATAAAATGAAAAGGCAAGCAAGGGACCATTGGAATCAATAATTTAGTTAATCGTGAATAAGTTCATGACTATTTGAGTCAAAAACCCTATGCATTTTAGCACGTATAGATGCCAAAGCGTCTCCATCATGGAAAAAGTTCGCAGAGATCTTTGAGTTGATCAACATCAATGAAGTGAAAGGGGGCAGTACGTTTTTTGTCACACTGCTAAATTGAAGAAGGAAAAATATACCACATAATTGGAACCAATTGAAGAAGAAGCTTTTACTCAAAAGTGGAAGGAATTTTGATGCAAATGTTAATGGAATTGAGTCTTGGATTGGACCTGAAAGAAACTCTTCCTTGAAACACATATTCTGCACTTTTATAAAAAATACATGTGGAGTGGACGCACTGCACGTAAAAATAAAACATGTTCATGCATTTCAAACGATCACCAACTCTCATCACCTCATCACGTCGAAGAGATTCGTATCCTGCACTTCAAATCAGATCAATACTTACTTATGCATGAAATGAATATGATGCTCTCACTTTCATCAATCCTATTCCTCTCTCTCTCTCTCTCTCTCTCTCTCTCTCTCTCTCTCTCTATATATATATATATATATAAATATTGCACACCCTCATTGATCATAATTAAGTTGTTTTTGATTTCCTAATGCTTATGCTTTTACACGATTCTCCCACTTTTTTATCACTACACATGAAAGTTCTCTCATCTCTCCAACTAACACAAAAGCAAGCAGAGTAAACAAGGAATTAATGCACGAACAAATTAAAAATGACGATATAAAAAGGCATCTTACTTTGATGATGAGTACGTAAAAGAAAATAAAAAAAAATTAAAAGAATCTACAAGAGTATTGTATCTCAAATGAAATGATGAAGAGCAGATACCCGTGCACTGAAGGTCTTGTCACTACTACAAAAAAACACTTTGCGCGACGAATGATTTTTGGTCGCGCAAAGGAAAATTTCGTCGCGCAAAGTTTGCGCGACGAAATTTTGGTCGCGCAAGTTTTGTCGCGCAAAACTCGTGGAGAAAGGGTTTGCGCGACGGTGAAAATTCTTCGTCGCACAAAGCCACTTTGTGCGACGAAGGATAACAACTTGAGCGACGAATCATGACGACTTTGCGCGACGAATATTAATTACTTAGCGCGACGAATCCTGAAAACTTTGCGCGACGAATATTAATTATTTTACGCGACGAATATTATCTACTTTGCGCGACGAATAATATCTCCTTTGCGCAACGAAAGTTAATGTCACGCAAGTGTACTTTGCGCGACGAATGTTAACGTCGCTCAAAGGTTTGCGCGACGCTTTGCGCGACGAAATATTCATTTTTTTTAATTTTTGTTTTTTGAAAATTTTAAACTAAAATAAACTAATTTAATAGTTTGCGCGACAAAATATTTTGTCGCGCAAGGTTTTTGACATTTTTTTATTATTATTTCTCTTATATCAATTTCATTATATTAATTTTTTTAATTTTAATTTAATTGTATGATTTTATTTTTCTTAATTACTTTAATTTAAATTGACATATTCAAAATAAAATTACATAAGAAAAATAGTGATCAAATTATCCAATATACATAATATTCAAAATGTACACTTAAATTAACAAAGTACAATAATAAAATCTACAAGCCTCTTATATCAAATCCTCAACTTTAGCCATCAAAGCCTCAACAATTCCCTACAAAAAAAAAATAACAAATATTGTCAAATAACAAAACAATAACATAAAATAATGACAAATAATTGGCATAAACTCAAAACTAACTCCAAAAACACATATTAATGAAAAAAATTTAAAATTTACAGAGAAGTGAGTGTGAGAGAATTAGAGAAGATAGTGAGAGAGAGATGAGAGAGTGAGTGAGAGAGAGAGAAAGAGATAGTGAAGAGAGAGATGAGAGATTAAGTGAGAGGAGTGAGTGTGAGAGAAATGGTAGGATTTGGGGAGTGGGAAAGAGAGAAATGGTAGGATTTAGAAGACATTGAGAAAATGGTGGAGGAGTTATTTTGCTTTTAAAGAACGTATCACTTTGCGCGACGAACGCGCAAAGTGTTTAAAAAAAATTTAAAAAAAAATTCCCATTTTCGGTGCCCGCCAAATTTTTTTAGTTTTGCGCGACGAATTTCTGGTCGCCCAAACTCTTGCGCGACCAAAATATTCCCGCATCCCATTTTTGGTGCCCGCCGAATTTTTAGAGTATACTTTGCGCGACGAATATTTATATATTGGTCGCGCAAAGTCTTAAAAAATATTTAAAGCTAGTAATAAATACATATACTATTCAATTTCTTAAGTGTTATACGTACAAAATAAATAAATTTAAAGCTACTCAACGATCCAACCGTCAAACTTGTTTGTTTATACTTCGAGATCTTATACACCAAAATTCAGAAAAAATAAACATTAAGAGATCAATTAATGGGACAAAACATTTCGACGGTTATAAACGAAAAATCATGATTTA